GCATTCCTACTTCCTCTATGCCCAATCACTGTTCTCAACCTCAAGCCCTCCACACAGGTATAGACGCTTATAACACGTCAGGCATCACTCGCGTGTAGCTATCCCTGTGGACTACCGCCTTTATACACCCTCTGCACTCGTATCATGGCAAATTCAAGAAACGCTTTGTCTCTATGTAATGTTGTTATTTAAGCAACTTTCGCTAGGGTCAGTCAAGTCATTTTGGTCAATCCGTATTGGGCCAGCGAGGAAAATCATGGCTCTTTAACCATATATAAGAACGGCCAGTGCCTCTGCAGTGAGCTCGTAAAAAAAGGCTGATGATGGTGACAACGTTCTCAATTTCGTTATTTTACGAATAGGGACCGGTTCGGTCTGTCGTGGTGATCTTTGTTTCTAACCGGGAATATTTATTTATTAGTTTCCGCTTAAACGAATTAATGTTGCAATCAAAGATGTCAACATCATACCCACACTCATCAAGCATCATATTTGAGCTTAAGCTGGCTCTAACAATAAAGCTATCCTGCCTAAAATTTGTAACCACTATAGGTCGGTAATATCTCGTCGACTTTATCGGGATCGAAAATTTAATGATATCTAACAATTCCGGACAAACAACTTGATAATTTATAATCTTAAGTAGATATTAAATATCAGCTACTGTTCTACGGAGCATTAGTGGCAGCAATTGTTGGTCTTTACATACTTGGAGGTATTCAGATGAATCATATGATTTATTCATTTTATAGCACAGGAACTTGATAAATTTCTTTACAATGCTTTCAATTCTGTCAATATAAGTGGTATATCTACGATTCCAGATTTGAGACGCATATTCCAGTTGACTTCCCTTTTTTTTGTTCGTATTACAAATTCGGAATCCTACAAATAACTTTAGGATTCCTGTTGTCTTGTCTCTAGACATTAAGAGAGTAGAGGCCATGCCAATTATAATGACATTACCGTATGCAAAATAATTAAAAAAATCATCAATTATAAACAATAGTTGTTTTGAATACACCAACCGTTATTTTGATGTGTACGTGATAGATCAGTGATGATTCAATGCGATTATGATGTTACATAAACTATTACTGTAGATAGGATTAATTAATTTTTATTTTGTCGTCGTTAATCATTCTAGTCCTGGGGATAGATGATATTTTGGCTACCTATTTCTTCATAAGTATACCTATAATTAATAATTTGGAGAGAATATCTGATTAAATTTGTTAACGAATGAAGTTTTATTTCATTTTACTCTATGGTCATTATCCGAAAACAAACGGCCAAATTTGCGAATGGTGTGTTTCGACCTTCCCGGTTTCTATCCTTCAAGTTGTATTTTCATACATAGCAACTCTTTTTAGTTATCTAGTTTTACCATACTAAAACGACGAGAAGAATGAATGAGAAAGAAACTCAAATACATTAATGCATTTCTAATTTAGTAGGAAAATAAGTTGGTATGTACATACATCCTGTTTAGAATATTACGTATGCAAATATTATATAGACTTATTATATTTATTCAATTAAGTATATTATTACTTAATGAAAAACTCATTAAACTTAGTATAGCATTGTGAAATTCTCATTACTGCACGCTTTTAGGAAAACTTTTTTTCATAAAGATTTTGTTGTTAGAACGCTGTCTCTCTGACTATATAGAAAAAAGATGTATCCAAATCTTAGCGTGGTACACAGGATCGATCCGTCACTCGATATCGGTCACTATGTCACTCGATCACAATGGAATACACGGTATGAGTGGGCGTGTGAATTTATTATGTACCGTGCTCTAAAAGTACATCTGTTAGAGATCCTTTAAAGTTCGCTTAAAATAAATTATTTAAGGTGAACGCTACGAGGATTAATTATTTTTAAATTGAAATTAAACTCGCAAGGTGTTACCTCTTTATTAAAAACTTTTGTGTTGTCGTTATAAAAACAAGCTATAAAATATACATATACAGGATTTTTTATGTACAAAATTTTATATTGTGTTCCTTACATTTAATGAATATTCACGTTTTTTTTCTGTCATTACAACCTGCTAACGTTGGAACTAAAAATAAAAAAAGATGTATATAAACACGTTGCTACATATGATATACGTTCTTCATAGATATGGAGGACGGAAGCTAAAGCACTCCTGCACGCGTAGCATGACAAACTCGAGAAACGCTATACACCCAAATGTCACTTTCTCGAGTCGAGAGTGAGAAAAGTGACATTTGGGTGTAGACAAAACGTTTTCGAGTTCGTCATGCTACGCGTGCTGGAACTTTCTATGGAAACTGATAAAACGAAGGTACCACAACATCCACACCCAAGACAATATAAAAAGGCAAATCTACATTGACCACGACTCGAACCCACGACCTCAGAGACGGCGACACCCTCAAACCTTCGTGCGAGCCACTTGGCGAGATAGTCTTTTGTAGACTTAAAAAAACAAATGCTAACAAAATCCACTTGGTCCCTGATACCCTGAGATGGGAATTGAACCCACGATCTTTCGCAATCAGGACGACTGCTCTAACCGCTTAGCTACCCAGGACCTAACAGGGCTGACGAATCTTTCAAGCACTTGCTACTTTTCGCTACTATAGAGCGTATTCTTATCATATTTTTCAGTATAGCATTGTGTTTGCGAAATTGATGAAATATGATAAATAAATACCTATTTTAAATATTACGGAACCGTCAGATATTATACTGCAAGTAGCGCGACTCAACAGTTATTTATGTGGCATCGACTTAATAATTAGAAAGTGTCTCACTCATCCTTTGTATCTTAATATATAGTATAAGGTTTACATACACCTTCACACAAAATAATCACATATGAACAAAGTTGCCTTTTGAAAACAAAATTCGGACATTTAGAACCGTAAATAAAATACAAGAAGTAAATGGAGTCAATCCTACGTGACCTACATTAGATTAATAATTGTGTTTGTATTTTTTTATTTAATGATGAAGTATTAAAAAAATAAATAAAGCACCTCACTAGATGTCGACTCCGGCAACAGTTGAGTTTTGGATGAAACGAATAATAATTTTTATTATTTATTTGCTATAAATGTGGTAGATTACAATGAAGTGGATAATTCGTCTTTAATAATAGGCCAAAGATAGCCATTTCTGTTCATTTTAATCAACATTTAAAAAAACTGAAATTTGCAAAGTTCGAAACTTAGATATCAATACAAATACGAAAAAGTACAAATAGAATATGAGTAGTTTGTCGAGTTTTGAAAAATAATTTATTTTTATATATGAAAGAAACCGGAACTCTATGACAACCCCATGGAGAAATCAAGAAAGTACCGTAGCGACATCTAGTTTGATTTCGGGAACTATTTTTTGTTTTTTTACATTAATTATGCCCACTTGATAGTTACTTTTTACTTTTTGTTCGATTTGGCAGTCATGTAGATTAATTTTTTAATTATATTCAAGAATATTTTGATCATGAGCTACTTATAAGTAGGTATCAAAGACCATACCGTCTCTGCCATTCCATCAGGCGGATGGGCAGTGCGTAACGTATTTTCCCTAGGTCATATAGGATGCAGATTGTAAACTCATATATCATTACCCATCCTGCGAAGTAACATCGGAGCGGGCCTGCGTGAGGATAGGTAAGGCGTTAATCGAGCGTTTGTTGAGTGTTATCTAAAAACGGGACAAACTTAATAAGACTTCGGGACGAGGGTCAATATCATTGAAATTGGCACTGCCCCGGAACATTGGGGACGGCTGGCAACCCTGCACATTAATACTTTGCACCTAGAGTATTCTTATAAGACATGGATATTATTATAAAGAGGTTTATAATGTAGCACCTGTCACAGTCTTCTGTGCAGTGCAGGTGTGTGTGCCCGTATTAAGTTTAAATACCTATTAAACTCATTAAACTTAATTACGGTGAGGATGCTATAATATATCATCGGATAAAAAATAGCTCGCCATACAATCCAAAGCTCAACACACAGGTCTATGATAATGTAATATTTTCATATTAAGTGTGTATATTAAGATGCTAAGCCATACGGAAATATATATTGCGTAGGTTAAGACGTTTTTAAGATCGATGTTAAAATATGTCATCTGAAGACATCTTAACTGGCGGTTATGAGCTTTATTGGGCACCAAGTCAAGGGTCATCCTATTTAAATTATTCTGTTAAAACATACAGCGACGGGCACAACATAAGACTTCCATAACAAAAAAAAACTTCAAAATGTAATAAAGGTTTTATACAGTGAACGTCTAATGCTGCAACATCGCTGTATTTTACGCTGCGGTCAACGCTGTATTTTTATAGAATATCAAAACAAAATCAAAGCAGAAGTGAAATGTCAGATAGCATATACAATAATAATAATAATAATCTTAGCTAAAAAAGATTCTCATTGTAGTTGGGTGATCGTTTTGTAGAAAATTTGTAATATAAAGGGGAAAAAAATGAACATTTTTTAGTCAAGTTTATTTTGAAGATTATCTTTATACTTTTTAGAGTGAGTTTTTGGGTAGGATTTTTCACTAACTTAATTTTTGTTTAATTCTGTCAAAAGTTATATTAAATAAAGAAAAAAAAATCTTAAAGCCACCGCGACGAAAGATGCTAAAGCTTAAAAATCAGTCCATTCGTTTATAAGCTATGATGGTGTAAGTATTAATAAGTAAAAAAATAGCTACCTCGTCTTGGAAAAGTGCTAGTAGCTTTTCTGATTTTCATAAAACATAGCTAAAAATCACCGCAATGAAATATAGGCTTTCGGTAAATAAACCGTACTCAATTCGGTTAATTCATTCACAAGCCTACGGTGCCATAACACACGCAAGCAGACAGGTTAAAATTATAACATCGCTCTTTTTCCTTCGGGAGTTAAAAAGAGAAGCTTCTATATTTATTATGGAGTGCATAAAAAAATAAAAGTTAAAGAACTACAATATAATTCTTTATTATATCTTTATTATATATTATTAAATTATTTTGAAGAGTGCCTTTGAAATGCTTCCTGTTTTCAAGTCCCCTAAAGCATTCTTGTATTCAGACAGACTATATGTTTTCACTCCAAGTTTCTCATAGTCCACGTATCTGTAATTTTAAAATGAATTAATAAATATTTTCATTAAAATGTTAAATACATTATTTTCAAAATGTCTTTGATACCAACTGGAGCGTACCTCAAGGTTTAATATTAGGACCAATATTCTTCTTTTTAGTAAATAAGTAGTGACTAAACAGTTAATAAATAACTAAATTCAATGATTTTTTCTATAGTAATATACAAACATACAAATTTAGAAATATTCACAAAGATAAATATTTATAATAAACGTATACTCCGTTATCACCGTAGATGCAAAACTAAGAAAGAATGCCAGTGGAAATATTTCAAAAATAATTTAAAGACCATTAAAATATGTTTTACATACCTGCTTCCCATAGCTTTCAACCAACCAATGGCTTTCGGAAAGCTGTATGGGTTGATCTTGACTCCGATAATGGTTAACTCTTTGTCGTAGATCTGGAAAGGATTTATTCTGGAAAGAAAGAAGAGAAAAGCAAATTTAACGATTTAACTCTTAGTGTGCGGCGCGTGTACCCCTGTTAATGACATGAATCTTTCAAATGAATGGTCATTCGGCAGATTTAGCAGTAACTCAACTTTGAAATGACGAGGAAATATTCTGTTTATAATATTAAATGTATCAGTCTTAGTATTTTGATTGAAGTTTGAACTAATTATAAATTTGGCGCTATCGGTATTACCATCAGCCTATTAATATCGCCACTAACGGGACAAGCCATCACCATGAATAGAAAATGAAAAGATTGAATTTTAAACCCCAGTCCCAGGGTCCGAGTGTAGTTTGATGGATGCTAGCGATCTCAGATGCAACAGGGACCAAAGTTTAGCGTGTCTTCTAAGAGCTCGTTGTTTCCAACCCATCTGCTGAAGGGCCTTTAAGAAAGTTGCTTGATATCCTCAATCGTAGACCGAACGTGATAATTATAACTTCACCGAGAATATACTTTCGCATTAATGTGTATGTAAATTGATTGTTACTTACGATGCTTGATGGGTAGGTGGGCAGCATCCGAACACGACATATTTTCCGCCATGTTTCAAATAGTTGAAGCTAACCTCCATTACTTTCCCAACACCTGTAAATCAAAGATGGCGTGGACCAGAAATTCTTGTGTAGACAAATCAATCGCGTGAAAACTCTACGGAGATGCATTAATGACAAAGTTCCCATGTCCTTCCAATTCCATCATCAGTCTATGGATATTATCTCACACTAAAGTCATTGTCAAGACATAACAAACGAGCCCAAGTTTCGATGAGGTTGCTCCATTGAATCATAGAAGCCCCATAGTTACCTTCCAACGACATAACCAGAATAGCGGCATTTCATAAAAATAATGCTTTGCAATCAAAGTTATTATTATATATCAGAATCAAAAGTACATCTTTAAGTTGCAAGATCACACAAAATAAACGAAATCTTGTAGGACCAGCCCAATTACCTGTACAATCAATTATGACATCATAAAGTTCCTTCTCTTGTGCCAATACGTCGGGTGTTATTAATCTGAATCCAGTATCTGGAAATATAATGTGTTTTATTATTGAAATTATATGGTTATAAAATTAACGCATTTTTCTAATCCAAAACTAAGTAAGATTCTTTTGTTTTGGAAATTAAACAAGTTGGTAGTGTTTAAAATGGAGATTTCTCAGATCCTTTTGAATTGAGTTTTAGAATTGATACTGTAGAAACTGGATAGGAAAGGTCCAACAGCAGCCAAATACGAAATAATATGAAAAGTATCATTTTCTACATTGACTTGTCTGAATTGAGGTACGAGGCCCTTTGCACCACGAAGCCGGGGGCTACACTAACCACGTTTTACCTTGCACGCTGCTTCTGCTCATATCCCAAACTAAGCAGTTAAATCTTTTGAAAACTTCGTTGTTTTACATTTCTACAACTTAAAGGCCATAACCAAAAGAACTCTCACTCAAGACAATACATAAAATTTTATTTTCAGAAATAGGCATGTGGCATGTGTGTGGCACAAATGGGCATGTGTGCTGCTGTAAGAAAATAATCTACTTTTTTATTGAAACAGATCAAAAACTCACCCATTCTTTTGACTATATCGAGTCTTGATTTATTCATTTCAGAGACGGTCACTTCTCTGTGGCCCTGATGATGTAGAGCTGTCACCCACAAGTTTCCTGAGGTTGTCATAACGTTTTTAATTAAATTATAGTTTTACTCGTATTACAGTGATGTTGTAACTTCTGAAAGTATTTTTTTATAATAATAATATCAAGCATAGTACAAAATATCTTCTCACCAATTATACCAGCTCCTACTATCAAGATCTTTTCTCCGACGAGCAGTGGGGAGGCGCGGTCGAAGCCGTGTGATACACAAGAGTAAGGTTCACAGAGTCCAGCTGAAACAACAAATGTATCATAGAGCATCAGGAGTTACTTTGCGGGAGGCCAGCAAAAGTGGCTGGTAGCAACTGTTTAGGAGAGGCTTTTCCAACCGCGAGGGGAACCAAATGTCCAAGTAGGTGGGCTGTGTGCTCTGGTGGCTCACACACGATTTCCAGGGTCTCTGCTGGTACACCGTGAAAGTTTTGGTGTTAAGCTTCTGAGCTCTGCACTAGCGTATACAGATTTTCCTGACGCACAAGAAAGATGTTACTTTGAGGAACTCCGATGCTATATTTGATCGTATTTGCGATGCAATACTGAAAATTACTCTTAATACAAAATGCCTTAAAAATCCACTTTATCGAAAGTTTCAATATTTCTTTCGGCTATTTGGGTGGATGTCTGAACATTGATGAGAATACGCTTAGTATTAGCGTAAAGTAACAAGTGCTTGAAAGATTCGTCAGTCCTGTTAGGTCCTGGGTAGAGCAGTTGCCCGGATTGCGAAAGGTCGTGGGTTCGAATTTCATCTCAGGGTGTCAGGGACCAAGTGGATTTTTAAAGCATTTTGTATTAATTTTCCGATGCTATATTTGTTTAACTACGATATGTAGCAACCCAGTTAGTAATTTATTGACAGCACTTGCTGCACATCCCAGGAGTTATTCTGTAGTGGATATTGGAAGGTCTAACATCTTCTGAGGGTACTACGTGGAGTGGCAAACTTATAATGTTATTTTTTACCTTGTTCAGTCGTAATGCCATCGGGTAGCGCGTAGACCTGATCCTGTGGCACCTTACAATACTGTGCCCAGCCCCCGTCTCTCCAAATACCGACTGTACTGTTGATACCAGCTGTTAAACAGTACTGATAGTTGCCTTTACGACAGTAGTCGCATAACAAACACGCTCTGAAATTTAAGAGAAGGTTTTAATAATATATATGAAATTTCAATGATAAACCAAGCACACTGTCTGATATATAATGTATGGGTTGATGGCGTAGTGCTTAGCACATTCACTCTGCAATGAGGAGATCAAGCTTACGTACATCATCATCATCAGTCCATTAACGTGGGTTATAACCCACGACGCAGACACAGTGCAGATTGGTAGGTGCTAAAAACTGTAGATACAGGTAAGGAGGTGCTCAAGCTTATAAATTTTGGTCACTTATCCTACGACCGGCTCTTGTGAAGGTTGCTTAGCTTCCGCATCGCGGAACGATCGCACTTACCGATACGCTCCACGTTGTACCAAACACAATTGAATAATGCTTCAAATAAATAGACATTTTTATCAACAGTAAAGATACAGTTATATATAAATATTTACCTATTTGGGTCTACCACAACCTTCTGCCCCTCTTTAAAGATGGATGCCTTACCGGCTTGATGAACAACGCCGCTGAACTCATGACCCAATGGAAGGGGTCGCTCTTTAGAGGCAGGGAACTCACCCTGGAAATGGATTTTATTATTATTATGTTTCAATTATATATAAGGAATTAACTTATTTAAATTTACACCCCCGTTTTGTAACTGTTTTCATTCCTCTTCATCCATATGTTGTATAAACAGAAACATTTTCAGCGATATGACTGCTATTTTTTAAACTTTGGTGTAATGTTAAGTTTGATAACGTTTTGTAGATATCTGTGGTGTTGACAACATAGTCTTACTAATTATTGATAGAACAGAGAACACAAGTGTAAGGCAGCATTTAAAAAAAACGAAAGCACTAAAAAGTTTTTGCAGGAAACAAATGGGCCAAAGATAGTCATTCCGTTCCTTTTAATTTACATATTAAAAAACCGAAATTTGCAAAGTCCCAAACTTAGATATCAATACAAATACGAAATACGAAAAATTACAAATGGGATATGAGTTGTTTATTGCAAAATCAACCGGTATTTTGATAAAATACTTATAATAAAAAAAGGTTTTATTTGATCGGAACCGAAATGATTTCAATTCTAAATAACTGATATCCAAATGGAAACATTTCATATTTCATCAACATACAATTTTTGACGATAATGTTATAAAAATAAAATTGATTGTATCGCCAAAATAGAAATGTTATCGTATTTTATTGTTAGTATTTGATAATTTTATACATTATAACGTTCTTATCTCTGTTGTCCAAAATATTAATTGAACAAAAACATGTAATCCTATCTGACTTGAAAATATTAGGCTTGTAACTCATACTTTCGGTTTATCACCGAGATAACTTGACAGATATTATGCAATTATGTTATATACTTTAGAAATCTAATCCATAGCTTTCAAAGTTAAATAACGTAAAAGTTTGTATGAGAAAATACATTATATTTTAAGAATTCTATCAACTTTTATATTTTATTTAATTCGTATTTTGTAACGATATGGCATTTATTCTGATTTCTACAGATTCTTTTCAACCGGGACAAAAACTTGTGTCTGAATTATAAAAGACATTTTTTTGAGTGCGTTCCTCTTTTAAGCTTACTGTATTTATAATAATGTTGGTGTCCCCGGGCACTTGCCCGGGGACCAAGTGGGGGTACTTACCCCCACTTGCTCCCCCTTAGACTTGGCCCAGGATATCTGTAATCTTACCTGAATAATGTGCAGGTCAGTACCACATATTCCAGAATATTCGACCTTAACTATAACATCTGTGTCGTTTACTATTACAGGTTTAGGATATGCCTTTTCGTAAGATAGCTTCAGTGATTTCCCGTCGAATACAACGGCCTCCATTTTGAATCTGAAATAAGAATTATTATCTATATTAACATTTGAAATAGAAAACCGCTCAAAAGTCTCGAATGAGGTTTCAAAAACGTTTCGACTCGAAACTTTTTCATTGAGTTAAGTCCTTCAAATGTATAGTTTCCGATTTTTTTTGTTCTAATATTGCAACGAATAGGCGAAACGATTGAATATATTTAAAAAAATCGTTCACCTACGTGAAGCAACAAGCGGGTGACGGTATGACGGTTTTGAAGGTTACCGGTTTTGGACAGGCGATAAAGAGTGACCAAAAAACGAGTTCATTCATGTTTTGGAAGAATGTTTAAGTGTGACATCCCTACAATCACCATTCCTCAAAACAATTACATCGCGTATACAGCTCAAGATATCATTACCCGAATGATATCTACGAATATTATATAGTCCCAACTTAAATAAACATTATTTCATAATGCTGCAGTGATCTTATTACTCAAATATAGAGTTCGAAATTATTTTTATCGAGAGCAAATGTTGATCTGTAGTAAACTACATCTATCTCCGGTATTATATCATTTATTACTCGACGTTTTCATAAAAAATACTTTAAAAAATCATCAGTCCCCCACCTCGGGGTACCTGGGACTATAGCATAATGAATGCAAAATTTATCAAATTTAATAACAAAAAAGTTTTTTATTACTATGAATTCGTTTTGTGAAAAATGTGTTGAGTGAAGTGTTGGACGGTCAAGCGGACGTTGGAAATGACTGGGTGGAGTGACAAGAGACAGAGTGAAGAATGACATTAGAGAAAGTTTGAAAGTAGCGTCGGTGACAGAAATATTGAGTAGCTATAGATTATCTTGATGGACATGTGATAAGAAGAGATTATTTGCACGTAACAAAAAAGGTTATGCAATGTGGAAGGAAATATAAGGAGAGGAAGACCGAAGAGAAGATGGATAAAAGATGACACGTGTAAGAAAGGAATGAATGTTGAGATGAGAGATGTCGGCTGATAGAGACGTATGAAAAAAGAATACATATTATATCGATCCCAGACAAACAATTGGGGAAAAGGAAAGCAAAAGATATTTTATAGAGATCGCTGTTGGTAAATATATTGACTTAAGAAAGAAAATGAAATAAAAAATTTGAGAAATAAATAATTGGTCTTAAAAACCTAGAAATAAAAATAAACAAAGGTAGAGTAGATATAGAATAGGTAGCAATCCTAACTGTTTGAGTGCGAAATAGATGAAAGTAAGAAAGATCACACATGAAGAATGAAAGTCGAAACACTGATAGAACTGGAATGAAAGAGAATATATAGATAAAATAATAAAGTCCTGCTACTGAGTAGGGCAAAAAAAGATCTGTGTCAGTACTTTAAGAAAGTTGCATAATGCCGATGCCGCCCGTACCAAAGAATATTATAAGCTTAAAGAAATAAAAATAATAAATAAAGTAATAATCACAGTAATCTTACCAGCTAGCGTCCGTTGTTTATAATAACTGAGCTATATCTGTTGTACAGATAAATTTAGTATTATCACTAGTATTCTAGGGTGTCCATAAGTTAGGTTGATAAATATTTAAATAATAACGCTAAACAAATATGTAATAAAAACATCATTAATTTTTAATTAGACCCGAGCGGGAATCAAACCTTCAGAAAAACACGTAGAAATCTTATTGCCGGCAATAGTATTTCTATATATCGCACGTTGAGAACGATAGTGACACAATGCAAAAAATGCGATTTTGAGTAATGAGCGTTTAAAGTTCAAGAAATTGTAATCCGCCGCTCTAAACAACGTATCGTCACTACGCCACCTAGCAGTTTCTATGCAAGCTATGTTTACAGGGATCTTTGCATTTTAAAGTTTACTTAACAAAGAAAAATGTTGTCAAAAGTAAAAAATATGTCGTTTTTGGTTAGTGACATTGTCATTCTCAACGTGCTATATGTAAAGATATTTTTATGATATTATCCTCATATTCATATATGTCTCTTGTCGCTTCGTAGTTATGATAAACGGTATCACTTTTTAAGATAGTTTATGTAATATTTATTTTTATTCTTAATTCCTATGTTAGTCTAAATAAGTTTACTATCTCATGAAATTTAGGAGAAATAAGTACACCAGAGTTTATATTCAATATATACCAACGTGTGAAGTTAAAAACCCGGGGCACTGATTTTCAAAATGCTTTTTTTTATAAATAATAAGTTTAAAAGCAAAATTTTGAAGGAGAAGAAGACATTTCATAATGTTTGACTTAATAGTGACCAATATCCTTTTTTTAACACATGGGAAATGTAACCTTACGCTTTTTAAGCCAGGGCTCTCCGACCCCGCTTCCGTCCTGAAAAGGATAGGTTTAAGCGAGGCTGCTCTACCTGATGAAACCCACAGTGAGTATCCTCTGTAAGGGAAGGGGAAAGGACCCGGTATCCGGCTAGGAGCCCGTTGCACCAATATGCTACTATTGACTTTAATAATAATTTAACGCCCTATAAAATATTAAAAAGATAAATTTCTTGGCTAATCATGTAATCTCTAGCTTGATTAAAGCTAGTTTACCTTGAACCAAGTTAATGGCTCTTTGATGTTATCTATAACGTAATATTTTTTCAGATTATTATAAATATTCCGTTCATAATAACATACAGTCGTCTGATAAAAATAACATACAATACGTAGGAAAATTCAGCTTCAACCTGTTGTTCGTAAAATTTGAAAGTACATATCTAGTGATCAACGGAATGATATTATGAAATATCTACAAAGCGTTTCAATTTTAATTTTAAGCATTAATTACTATAAAATTACATACGGCATAAACACTCATTCTCGCTAATGATCAAAAGTGCACAAGCGGCAGATACCCCACATTGACTGATGATCAAAGATGTACAATCGGCATAAAGAAAAACAAAAAAACCGACAGCGTAAAAACAAATATTAAAAAATACATGAAAAAATTAACTTAACTCATAACCCCTTGGGAAGATTTGATTGGTAAAATTTGAATGGGCACCGACTGTGAGTCGTTCTGTTCTGCATTAGAATTTATGATTTGTTTTATGTGTGTATCGATTATAAAACTATTTCAATTGTGTAGTTATTTAGTATTACTTAACAGAATTCTAAACTACTGGGCTTGTTTCTTTCTTTTAAATTTTTATGTAACTTAATTTTTCCATGTATTTTTTAAAATTCGTTTTTACGCAGTCGGGTTTTTTGTTTTTCTTTAAATTATTTATTTTTATTTTATACTTTTTAGTTACGATTCGTTGAATTATAAGATGTGCAAATATCGCAATCTAATCATTTCATTGAGTTAATATCGTGGGGATTGTTAAGTAACTTGCGGTGGTCTAAACTACTGATGATTAGTCCCTCAAGAGACCTAACTCGGCTCAAAGCTACATATGCGTTTATACTTTAAATAAAAACTTAAATCAATAAGTAAGAAAATTTGCGAATATGATTGTTTAGTTAAACAATTTTAAATCGTAATATATCCTAAACTATTATTTAAAATTAAAAGTGATAAAGATGATTTTAAAATGCCTATTAAACGACACCCCACTTGACATAGTTCTTCGATTTTTTTTTCATTTTGACAATATGGCGTCTGGTTGTCGCTGTGGTGAATTTTGATTACTGTCATGTCTTTAGTGATACTTGCAAGGTTAAGACGTATCGATTGACGTAAGAATCATCAAAATCGGCCTACGCATTTGGTCTCTAGAACAGGGCTTGGAAACCGGTTAAGTTTTTGAACCGGAACCGACGTAAGTACATGCGAAACTTTTCATAAAAGGTTCAGCTCCTTTGTACAGGTTTTTAAACCGGTTCACTAGAAATACGGTTTTCTTCATTAACCGGTTTAAATATGACTCCAAACAATGATCTCACAAACTTCAGCGCGGTTTTTAAGTGCCTTTGCTCCTATTTATAACATCCGTACACAGGTATGATAAATGACGTGGCTTAAAAATGAAATAATTCGCATTAAAAGCCTAGGAACATTGCTTTTTACGAACCAAGTAAATTAACCGGTTTTTATTCCATCCGAATTTCACTCCGCATTTAGTTCCGATCCGGAACGGAATATTATAAGAGAACAGGTTTTACCTAAATAAAAACGGTTTATTCTGAACCGGTTTCAAGTCCTGCTCTAGAACGCCACATAGAAACAAACATACATACATACATAGACTGATAAACACATTACCCTCCTTTGCGTCGTGCAGTCGGGTAAAAAACACATGCGCGCTAATGAACAAAAGTGAACAAGCGGCATATAGGTACTACACGTCCTCGCTAATTAATATAAATGCACATCAGGGGCTTATTAAATGTCTAATTGTAAAATATATCGCAATCCCTTTCAATTTCACACTATGGGAATGTTAAAAAATATTAACCCCACTTTGTCAGCAATAGCTTTTGAGCTAAACCGCGGAAGGATGGGCGGACTGGTGGACAGACAGACAGATAGACATGCGGACATTGTTGACTACAGAATTCTAAAAAAACAAACATGAAATACAATTTTCCTATTGGCGCACCGATGACGCCATCTAGCGATAAATAGACTAACCATTGATAAACGAATGTAGCAACTGGAGCGACATCAAGCACGCGGTAGAAACACTTTACAATTTGAACGAATGAAAACTGCTTTATCAACATCTAGAAGTCATTGAACCCTTTAAAATGTTGCCACTATATAATCGACTACACTCTATTTGTCATTTGGATAAAAATCAGACGGTTTAGTCTGTAAATTCGTTGTCTTTATTAATTACTACCATAATAAGAATTTTTTATAACCAAAACTAATCATTTTGTTTTATCATAATATTATTTGCTATAGTTAACGTAATCAATAATAATACATGAGATTATAAAAGAATCTTGATGTTGAAATGAGAACAAGGTTTGCAGTAAGTATTTACCTTTGTCACTCAAAACCCTAAAAATTCACTATTTCAACGGTTTCTTATTTGTCTACTAGGAGGGAGATTTTTGTTAAGGTATGTAGCATTAGGAATGAATGACAGCTGTCCTTCAATTTAAATACAAATGACTATTCATTATTTCATTCACTCATTCATTCAAAAGTTATTGTTTATGTGCCGCGAAGCGTTGTGCTCGGACTGCAATTTAATACGATGGCATTAATAAATATAATTTATTTAACTGTTTTAGCCTGTTTACTAAAAGATGGTAAGTAACATTTTTAACATATTATTTATGATTAACTTTAGTTTGTATTCAACATCTCAATTTTTTTGGTAAGCGTTAGGAAGCCTTCTCAACCGTTGTTTTTTCTTGAAAACTGTCACACCCTTCTTCGAAAACGATCCAAGTTTTGTTATTACGCCTTCAAATATGTAACTACGTAACTATTAGGTTTCATGTCGTTTTAAAAAGTAGGTAGACTTACAAATCGCTTTAGTGAAATAGTAAATTACATATAGGTTCCTATTGAAATAGCAAGTTGATGGCGCTAACTCATTATTGAAATAGTACCAATGTTAATAATAAGCTATTTATTACTGGTAAACGGTTCAATACCAAGTATCTATTAGACGGTAACTTTGAGGATTTTGCTGACAAAGTGTATTTATTATTTACATAAACACGCGTATCACTTTATTAGCGGTTCCGTATTTAAATAATTAACTTTGTGAAGAGTTCCATCACCATCCTGTTTTTCCAGGATATCTCCTGGAATCCTGGCAGGGTTCAGAGTAATAATTATCATTGATAATTATCTTGATAAATGTTCCTTGATAGTAATAATAGACTACACAAACTCTTTTTGTACTTTACAACTTGTTATTAGAGGGGAATCATCTTTTAACAACTATCAAATATGTTATTCTGAAAGAGAAAATTGTCTAGAACAGACCAACCAAAACAAAACATATTGAAAGGCATGTTTTATTAAAACATATTTAATTATTTTTATCAATAAGTTACATTTTCATTTCACTTTTTGTTCAATTGAATTTCAGTTATTATTATTTGTGCATTTAGTTTGTATAATTTAAAGGAACATAAATAAAAGTTTAAACTATTATCAATGCCTTCTGTATTTTAAAAATTGTTGCCAGTAACTACTGAAATTTCATGATTATTATTCAGAAAAATAATTACATTGATAATTATCAAATCCAAGATACATTTTTAAGCTGCATCTTGGTTTTAATGCGTTTTAAATTATGCAGTAGCTATACACAGAGCGGTTTGGACAAACAAAAAGAAAAATACTCTGTTCTGTTTTTTAACAGAATTTTCCTGGGATTTAGTTTTAGTGAGTTGGGTTGGCAACCATTTATTTTTGTAAACAGGAGCCATACGCAATTATCATAAGACAGAGAGGTCAATGTTTTTATAAATAAATGATAACTAGCCCATTTATTATCACGCTAGCTTACTTATTACTTACATATTTGTAGGTCGTAAGAGATTTTTATAAGTACCTATAGCTTATTTCAATGTATTTTTTTGTACAAAACAAATTTGAAAATAGTCCTTTTTGGTATATACTCCTCTTAAAATCAATATAACATCAAGTGAGTATCTTGATTGAATTTCAAGTGTTATTTGTTTTTCACAGTAAACAGTCAAAGAACACCAACTATTTCACACATCACTCAAGAGCAGATAAGAGATATCGGTGGTCAGGTAGACTTGGACTGTTCGGTCCATTACAGCAGCGAGTACCCCGTGATTTGGGTATGAGTTAATTTTTTATGAATACCGGACATTAAGACAGTTGAACAAACGTTTATTAAAGTTTAATGACAACGATTTTAAACTCCAATGAATGTTCTAAATTTGAATATTTGTATAAGCAAAGTTGCTTTAAACTAATGACAATTTTAATGGATGTTTGTGCAACTAGGTGTTGTCATAATCAATATTCATGTGCATATTTATTATAATGTCACCATCACGATAATTGAAGCGCCCAAGGTGATCAAAAAGATGTCAAGTACAGTAGTTCAATTTTATCTTTATCTAAGAAACCGAATGATACAACCCTATTCGACTTAAATCAGGTCAAATTATTTAAAACAACTTGCTGGTTCTCTTTTAAATTTCAATATATTGAATCACTCTGCATACTTAGAACAATATGCAACTTTAGTTGCTGGATGAAAGTTACCTTCTGAATTCTCTTTTTGAACATTTTAGGTGCTGTACCTCAATTGTCTTTGCGTGTACATTATAACTATTTAACATAAGTGTATGGTATTAAAGAGTTCTGAAAAAACACGCTGACTGAATAAAATACTCTTGGATATTCCTTTGTTGTAATGCAAATATACACCTCATTTGTATAATAATTGGATACTATATTCAACAACATATTCAGTTGTTATACAAAAAATGTATAAATAAAGGAGTTTATCCATGTCCTAGGTGTTTTCCTGCGACTTCGCCAGCGTAAAGTCTATATCACCCGCGCATGATGTAGTTTCCTATAGGTAAAAGAATTTTTAAAGTGCTCCAGAAATTTCTGAGCCTATTCACACAAACAATCAAATGTTTCCTCTTTAATAATTGTATGGATTTGTGTTATAAAAGCGTCATTCAATATCCCCCTCCCCTATAGGGGAATATCCCATCGTATATCAATAGGAAGTCTCATTAATGTTTTGGAAGATCTTTTGACATATACAATAGGCATGATTCAGTTTCTTTGACTGTTCATTTAATGCCTTTATTAACATTAATTTACAGTTTATTTCATTTTTGTTGTTTCACCATTTAGTTTGACTTGGTTTAGAAGTCATTTATTTTAAATACTCACCAATCTCTACACAAAACATCAACCATTACACTGTTTCAATAGTATCATAAGGTTATATATTGTATACTCTAATTATTTTTTAGAATTTACAAAAATTTGAAATACAAAATCCCCAGACTAAAAATTACATGGTTGTTCTTATTATTCACTAAAGTCACTGGTGATAAAAAGTAATATTATTTGTACGTAAAAATGCATTGACATATAAAAAAAAATTAGTAAACAAATAGACTATTTATCACTTTCATTTTTTAACACTAAATTCTTTGCACGTTCACCACTTCGAATAGTTTCTGTGATAACTACGAAGAAAAAGGTCGCCTACGCGTTATTCTACAATGATAACAAAATCGGTTACATCCTTTTTGCATTTAAAAATAGTTTATTACATACATACGTACGTAATATCAACTATTCAATCAACAAGGTTACATTATATGGGTTAAAGTAATGCGGCTCGTTGCGATGCGAATTCGTACTAAAATTTCGACGAGATATCGTGCGACAAGATATACAGAAACAAAGATCCAGTGTCCGTCTGTCACTAGGCTGTAATTTTTTATATAATTTCATACCGATAACTTTATTATTATATAATGAACATTTGTAATAATGACTATTATCATAATTTCGTTTAATATAACACTTCTTTTAAATAATATTCATTTTCTTTGATATCACAAAGCTAATATTATAACGAATAAAAACAATTCATGTAACACTAATTTGTATAATATTATATTGTCTTAATTTTTGTTGATATTACCACCATTCTGTATATTACTGTATATTACATTTTTCTGTTATATTATTACCTGTCTATGGTTTTTCTCATAAAGTTCATTTATTATAACAAATAATTGATATAACCTTCATCGATTAATTGAAATAACCGTTATTTTATATGATTTTTTTCTTTAATAGTGAAAAATATTATAAATTTCCACTTTTTAAGATACATCGAACTCGATCAGATTAGGTTCGAAATCTTTGTCATAAAACCGATTAAATTAATTTAAACTTCACATTTTTTGTTCACAACAAGAACTCATCATTCGGTTACTTTGAGTTTCAACATTGACCAAAGCTAAAAAGCTAGTCGAGCGAGCGAAGCGAAGCGCGCCGCGGCAGCAGCCGGCGAGCGCCATTTATGAGTTATTCATTTAGCTAACTTCAATGTACACTCCTTAGGAGAAAAAGTAGTAGACCTAGTAAACAAGTTGGTTTGAATAAAAAAAACTATAAATGTTTAAAAAAAAATTTTTTATATGAAATGACTACTATAAGAATTGAATATTATAGGATATCATTAATATGTAAATTGATTTTTATTCTAAATGTTATTAATAATTAAACTTGTTTAATTAATGTGTTATATGATCAAAACATTATACCATAGAAGGTTTATGTAAAATCATGTTAATATGAAAGAGAATTATATTAATTGAAGGGCATTTCTTTCAAAATTGTATCTTTAAAATATTTTTTTTTAACATAATTATGTTATTCGAAGGTATAGGTTGAAAATGTTATACATTTTGTTATTATGCCATATATTAAACACCCCCATATTTTTCTGCTAACATTAGCAGAAAGCTCTGGTAAAGTCTATGAATGATATTCGACAGTGTTTAGCAATAAGAAGGTTAAAAAGGTCTCAAATTTTTTTTATTGAGTTCACCGCAATATCCTCTCTTGTGTACTCTATTTTGTTTATTGTGATTTCTACATATTTATTACCGTTTCCGACAGGTGAAATATGACCGTCTCAAGACCACAGAGTCTATACCACTGTCCAGTAATGCCGCACTCATCATTAGAGATTCTAGATTCTCACTGCGGTATGATGATGCCACCGCTACATACACGCTCTCGGTAGGTACTCGTAAAGAATGATATATATATTTTAAGATATTTTAAAAAAAAATATAAAAAAAGTTGTCTACGCCCCTATTGTGCCACTCTGCACTCTTGATTGGTTGGGTTAGTGTACCCAATCAATCGCAATTCCTTTCAATTTGATATATATTCACGAACTTCACGCTGCAAGTATTTGAAAGAAGGTAACGTTTGCGATCGCAACTTTTTTGGAAGATATTGAATGAATGATATCGTTTACTTGAAGTTAGTTGGAATTATCGAAAGTGTCAGGAAGTGTTACTTTAAGTTACCAAGTTATTTGTATGTTTCATGATCATACAAATCAAAATTCGCTCCAAAGCGGTTGCGACATGAAAGTTACATTATTCTGTTATTCATTTTCACATTCACAATAGATTTGAAAGGGAATGCGATAACAATTGAAATAGCATTTATTCAGTTAAGGCTGTTCTAAACACTTGTAAATGTCGAAAATAACGCCATCGGTTCTCTAATATACAGTAGGACACATACTGAGAAGAAAAGGAAAGAAACCCAGCAGGGCTGCTGCTTTTTCTTTCTAGTGATGTACGAAACGCAATCGATATATAGTGATGTCCATGTTAGTAGATATTTTTCGTCTAATAGCAGCACTGGCCGCATGACGCAAGTAAAATAATTAAACCTTTTTCGTTTTCTTATATGATTTTCTCATCAGATCAAAGACATCCAAGAGAACGACGCCGGCTGGTACCAGTGCCAGGTACTCATCTCCATCACCAATAAGATCACAGCTGAAGTGGAACTGCAAGTGCGGAGACCACCAATCATATCTGATAACTCCACTAGATCTATCGTGGCCAGCGAGGGTGAAAGTAAGTGGAGAATCACTATTTTTAATTTATTTCTTCATTGAATGTTAAAATAAATTATACATACATAAATACCAGGGTTCGGAAAAGTCCGATATTTGATATTTATCCTATATATATGTTTAAATAATTATGCATATAAAAAGCTGCTATTTTAAAGATGCTAATGACTTTATTTAATATTTTAAATCAAAAGTGTAAAATAAAGATTGTGTTTGATATTTTTATATATTATAAAATAATTAAAAAGTAGTATGTATGCGGAGATTCCCAGTAATGTGTAGGGGAAAATCTGAAATTTCTAGTAAGTAGGATTGCTACTTCAGGCCAATGCTACCAACGTTACATCAATTTTCTAGCATTTATATTCGATATTCAATACTCAAGTTCCATTAACAAAAATAACCTCTTTAAATTTGCTTGATTTTTATAAAACGAATCTATAAAAATTTAATCTAATAACCACCTTAGAATAGTGACATTTATTTATTTAAATTCTTGTATCACTGTATATCTAATTAATATTATTACATGCCAGGTGCCCAAATGGAATGCTATTCTGACGGTTTCCCGCCACCGAAAATAACATGGCGTCGTGAAAACAACGCCATCTTGCCGACAGGAGGCTCCATATACAGGTGACAATTGTTATTCGAATGTAAACTTTATTGCGATGCAATCAAAACAGAAATTAATATGCACTATAAAAGTGTTCTCTAGATTTTTCCTTGTGAATAACTCGTATCTATTTATTACACTACCATAATTGAATAGATTATAATTTGTTAATTTGTGTATTATCTCTTTATTATGAATGATAATATTGAGTTTACTTATTTATTAAACAAAATGTCTTAAATTACATATTTCATTTGATATCTTATCTTTTTGACCGCGAACTCGTTACCAGTACTGCATATATGATTCAAGTCCACTTTAATAATATAAGCGCAGAACATATCTATATATAATAATTTATTATAGATTTGTTATGAAAAAAATCATATAACGCCATCTATTGAAAATCAAAACTAATTGACCACGAGCATTTAAGTACAAGTAGGTGAGTGTAGTGTCATTTTTTTCAACGGATTTTACTTTTTTTCTCAGAGGCAATGTAATAAAGATCCCTTCAGTTCACAAAGAAGATAGAGGCACTTATTATTGCGTCGCCGAAAACGGAGTGGGCAAGGGGGCAAGGAGGAATATCAACTTGGAGGTGGAATTCGCACCTGTCATTACCGTCCCGCGCCCACGATTGGGACAGGTAATTTAAGTTAAACTTAACACATTATTTAAATAGAACCACATTTAAATTGTTGCAATTTGTGTACTTTTGAAAAAATATTAAGGTAGGTGTACCAGTAACAACCGCTTAAGCTACATTTTGAATTTAATTTTGATGATATATCATAATGATTGCAAATACCATTGCGAATAGAATCAATGTCCTAGTAAGGAGTTAGTATATCATATGATCGTGTAGATTTTCGAATTATACTAAGTGCTATTAACTTTATATAAAAAAGTGACAAGTCTCAGCGTACCTAGGTGGACCATGTTGTATATGGCATATTTATGGTTTCTTGTTATGATCATGTGGCTGGTAAATGCACGGTAATGCTTACAAACTTAAAAAAAAATACCAGAAATTAAAAGAAAGGTTTAGAAAGGTTTGAGAATTTAAGTGGTGTACTACTACTTTCTGGTGTGAGACCGGCGCTCCCACCCTACATTTATCAAATGTTTTGGATCCTTTACAGATTTCGTGTAACATGTACGTAGATATGTCTATAGATAGATAGGTCTTTAAAAATGCCTCGAGGTTCCTAAAACCCATTTTTCGAAATCAATGCTTTGACAAGATAAACGATAAATTAGTTATATATGTAAATAACATGGACAATGTTATTTATGGTAAAAAATATTCCAGGCCCTCCAATACGACATGGACTTGGAATGTCACGTGGAAGCTTACCCGCCTCCGGCCATCACTTGGCTCAAGGACGAAATACAGCTGTCCAACAATCAACATTACAGGTGATGTAACTTTATTTGTGACACTTCAATCACATAGAAAAAAAAAGTTAAGCAGTGCTATAAGTTTTATGTTCTTTCAAGAAAGTAATATTAAATTTTTTTTGTCGTTTTTTTTAATTTGGTCATGAAAATATGTATTTAATATCAAAAATATTAAATATTACATTACAAAATAATAATACGTGATTTCCTCAATATGCTCTATCAATTATAATAAACCATATGATTTTTTTTGCGTTGATAAAAATTATTCCTGTACAAATTATAATAATAATTTATTAATTATTTACATTGTTCTAAATTTGGATAGTATTAGATTACATTTAAAGGTTAAAAAATGTGTAATTGGAGCCTCACTATGGTTCAGAGCAAATAAATAATTTTTTGAAGTCGGTGTTAAAAACCCCAAACATAAACCAACAAATGAAACTCAAGTTACTGATTATGTGTTGTTTTCTATTTTTGGGGTGGGTAAAAATTTGCTACAGGCCCCTCTCTGCCTTAATTCGGTACTGCCAATATACCTGCGTAGGAATCGCTACAAATATCAGCCAATTAAATGATTCAAGGATTATTAAATATGTAAGTGAGACAAATAGTTAGCAATTGAAATTTCGCCTTATGGCTATAGAAACAAGACTCATTATACATTTTATCATACTTTCTGTCATCGTCGGAATTGTTAGGTCTGCTCTGCACAAACTAAGATTCACCGTGCGCTATATTATTCTAAATTGACTGTAAATGGCCAATTGAAAAAATATGAACGCTGGTTCATTAAATTATCACCTGTATCTGAACACATCCATAGTCTATGGTATATGTATAGATGTTGCTAGTTTCCTTTTTGTCGCCTACCTCAAGTCAACCTGTGGGTTATTATATAATTATAAAATGATGGAACTGCGTTACATAATGTCTTAAGACCTATCAATCTAAACCCATCGAAAGATTGCAGTTAGCTAGCGTACAACTCTTTCATTTGAAATATCTCAAAAGCATTCAAAAACATTTGTATCCTAACATTTGCCTTAAACAATTATAATTAACAAATGCAACTGCTTACAAAATCATAAAAATAAACTTGCAACAGGCCAATAATTGTGTTTTCCAGATTGAAACGGAACTCCCCTCTAGACTTGTGCATATGAATAACTTTCACAGAATTTGTGAACACTATTGAAGTGACCAGGTCACTGGACTTGATACCACATAAGAATATCAAATTAAAGCGACTTTAAACTATAGTTAAACGGCCAAATAGTTAAACGGCCAACTGTGACAGTTCGAATAAAAGGTATAAAAAAAAAGACAATTGGACCCCCCATCCGATCGTAATAAGTCTGAATAGAACTAGAATTTATTCCACGCTCCTTCTGTTATTTAGCCAAGCCTTCAGTTGATTTATTTCATATTTCTAACTCAGTTATCATTATTAATTATTTGTGTGATTATTCTTTCTTACAGAATATCTCACTTCGCTACAGCCGATGAGTTCACAGATACGACTTTACGTGTCATCACCATAGAGAAAAGACAGTATGGAATATTCACATGCAAAGCTCAGAACAAACTGGGCACCGTCGAGGGAAAAGTTCACTTGTTTGGTGAGTTACCTGAAAATTTGCTGTATTAGACTAAAGCCTTGAAACATATTAAAAAGAATCCAAGCTAAAAATAACAGTTATATGAACTGTTTGAGTAAACCTTTTATAAATAAATAAACCTACGTAAAAGTAGTATTCCTGACTTTTTCTTTTTTTTTTTAATAATTTTGTTATTTTTAGATTTTTTTTAAGTGCTAGTAGATGATTTTCCTTTTTGGATTTCTATAATTTTTTTCTATATTAGCAGTTGTATGATTTTTCTATGAGTTACGGGAATGCATTCTATGTGATAGTATATTGTTTAATTATGACCAAATCTATTTTATTGGCATGCAGCATGATTATACCACTGAAATAAGATACCTAACATGAGCAAATTTTTTTTAATTTATATCATTTGGGTTTTTATTTTATATTTTAAACAATTTGGGGATATTATTTGAAATAATCTAGATATAAAAACATATAGAAGAAAAGAATTAATAGGAGAAAAGTTATGGAGAGGAAATCGCGAGACTCACCTATATTGTCTCGGGTGTAGGTTGTTGTGGTACATTCGATATCTAAGATAAATTTATGCCCTCCATTTTTTTTCTTTGAATAATCTTATCATTTTAAAATGAGAAAAAAATTAATTACGGTTTGGAGGTGTGGGAGTATAATAATCCATTTAATATAAAATTTTGGTTAATATGTCCTCTATATCGTAAGGTAACTTATTGTGTGGTATTAGTATACCACACCCAACTAATATGGTTCACTGATGTACCTGTGCGAATGGTTTAATCGGAATGATATTAAAAAAAAAATGTTAAGTCTAATAAAGCTTTTATTTCTACTTAAGTTCCATTTATTAATTGCATTTTTTTCTAAATAGAGTGATACATTATCTATTCACTCAGATACAAAGATAAGATTCGCTTTTTAGATAGGATTCGATTAATCATACATCCGATTCGTAATTGCCAGTACCCATACGAAGCTTCATGATTTGCCATATTAGTTGGGTGTTCAGGTAAACGCAAATCCGAACGAAACGAAGGAGGCGAATGAAAGGAATTCTTTCTATGGAAACATAACCTCAGACGCCACGTGTTTACATATATTTTTCCACATAGTTTGCCAGTTCTTTATTATTTCTTAATTAATTAAAAGTTTAGGGACTATTTTTTATAGTTGTAAAAATTGACTTTATAATTTAATCTACATAGATATTTTTGACATTGGTAAAAAAAAAAGGTATTGGCTACCGCCGAGGTGTCGCCATCTCTGAGATCTCGGGTTCGACTTAATGTAGAAACAGGAATTTTCTATATTGTCTAGGGTCTGGGTGTTGTGGTACTTTCGTTGTTTCATATCATCCGTGATACTAGGTTAGCTTTTCATCTTGGAATCTGAGCGATATGCACGATATCGTCTTATACGTATCATATAGTTATGTTGGAGTCTCGGTTTTAGTCTATAAGCTGACAATTGTTAAATAATATAAAAATTTGGTGTAAAGAAAATTCGTTTCGTTCGCCTCCTACTGGTCGGATCGCTCTGCTACCGGCCTCACGGTGACGCTTGTTTGTTGTGGCATGTAGAGACCATCATCCCCGTATGTCCGCCCGCGTGCGGTCAGGCGCGGTACGGCGGCGCCGTCTCTATAGCCCCCTCCGCTGCCACTATACTAGCCGCCTTTGGTATCCACGCCGCGCGAGTCTTCACTAGGTGAGTGACACTTGATACGTTATCTATGGAATCGTATGATATCTATGGAATATATATAAATAATTGTGAATGTGAAACAAGGAGGGGTAGTTTTGAAACATCGTGAATGTAGTGTGGGGGGGGGGGGGGGGACCACGAATCGTCACAAAATGCGCGGCTTCAAGTCGGTCGATCACGAACAGGGATATATCACGGATTTTATGGTGAACAATAGCTCTACGAGTCGCGGAAAAATAATATTTTTTTAATAAAAGAAACTTATAAGTGGTTATTAAATAAAAATACAAATTCTTTTATTAGTCATTGCATTAGGTAACTTTTTATTCAGAGATTTATTAGCTCTCTTTTAGATGAATGCATTGTAAACAAGTAGCTTTATTATTATTATTTAAACTTGCTACGTTTTGATTAGTTTCTAGTAATATTATTGCATGAAGCATTTTGAAATTTATTTTGTATAGAATTCAAAAAAATTGTTTTAGTGTACTTATTCTGTAAGTTTTAAAGTTTGTGTTATGTCAATTAAAAAGACTAGATTCTTTGGACAGATATTGAGAAATGAAAATCGCTTATTCGAACTATTCGGATTGACTAAAATATAATTTTCTAATGATTGGTATATGCCAATAAGCTGCTCTACTGCGTAATTGTTACAACGAAGTCTTCCCAGTTAATCTGACAGCCTATCAGGCTACGTTTTAAGAGATCAGTCCGGGCCTCAGTTAAGCGATACAGCCCTCTTAGCCTCATAGCCTGTGAAACAGATAATTGTAGGGTCACTACACGCCTGTTTCAATAATTGTGACGTAAGAATCTCAAAAAAAAAAGATTTGATTGTTTGTTTGCATCTAAAAGGCTTGGAAACTGCTGGACTGATTTTAAAATTATTTCATCTATAGACGTAACGTAGGTTATAATATACGCTGGCTAAGTCGCGGGAAAACGGCTAGTATATTATATGACATTCAATCTTGCACACATCGAGTGAGATACTGGACTGATCGTATCCGATGTAATGTTTTCTGTTTCCTTTTTCAGAATCTTCCATACCAAACATTAACTACAGAGGCTTAAGACCCGATCCGTTATATTATTCGAAGTCTGATATACCGCATATCAATAGCATATCAATCGTATGCAGTTTACTGCTAATTATAAAATATTTTAACTGGTAACATTTCAGTTGTTATAATACAAGAGTGTGTCCACGCGGGGTTGCCACCTTCAAAATCTGTGATGGATATCGGAAACCCCTCGATTTTTGGGCTAATAAGTCTGATATAGCTATCGTTTAGTTGTGGGATAGCAACAAGCGATAAAAGCACCCGTAAATGTTAATCTAGAATACTAAATAAAATACGGGTGCTTATAAACTAAAGAAAATTCCGGCAAAACCCCAACGCATGGCGACCCTACTTTTACGTAACATTAAAAATTACATAACCAACTGCTAATGTTGCCAAATAAAATTAAGTATCGGGATATTTTAAATATTTTTTGACCCTTTATTGCACTTTAAATATTTCAGTTATCGAACCACGTATTCTATAAAAAATAAAGCTTTAAAGACAGACTTTAAATTAATTAAAACTTAATATTTTGTTTGAATTGTTTCATTTATTTGATAATATTGTACAATTAAAATCAATAATCTCGGAATACCAATGACCTCCAATTTAGTTTTTTAAATTAAGACTTAAACACTAGTAATAAGTACTTATTTCCCATCACTATGTAGTGAACTTAGTAAACTCAGGAAGCGACAATACTGTCGTTATAATAAGGTTTATTTTCGAACGATCTAACGAAACTTCACTTTTAAACTGATTTGATTAGAAAAACATTTAATTAGTGGTATCAAATTTTGATCTGTTTCAATTTTGTAACTTTATTTTCCCTTTCTAGCGCATGTGATTAGGAAAAGACACACAATTGGGTCACTCTGATTTAAGACAGTTAATTGTGACGTCACAGAGTGGTTTATGATATATAAAATATCAGTAATAATACTAAATTATTAATAAAAAATATTTTTATTTTATATTTATATCAATGAAATAGTTTAACCGACATCGACTGAAATATGTTATGTAAATCAACTTTTTTATGATAACTATTAGTGAATTAAATAATTACCAGTGGTTGATAAAGAATTATTAAATTTTGATGAAATGAGATACTTTTTTAAAGTAGCAACATTGGTTTTAACGTACGAGGGTGGTTTGAAAAGTTCTCGGCCCGACCAAGAGAAAAAAAGAAAAATAAAAATACGTTTTATTTTTCTACATATTCTCACCTTGTCTCAATACTGTCGAATGGCAATAAATTAATTTACATACTACCCTCAAATCTCGGTCAGGTCAGCCCGAGAACTTTTCAAACCACCCTCGTATTTTTCGTAAGGAATATTTATAGATGTGTGTAAGATTAGTCAGTGACGTAATGATTCGATGTGATTTTTATATTTTTATATGGACCCAAGACGATTTTACATAGTATTACTAACATTTCTATGATCTACTATGAAAATCTTTCATATTATCGATATCGATAAAACGAAATTATATTTGTTTAATATGCAGCGTACTGTAATATAATATTTACTCAACAAATTAAAATTTAAAAACAATTAAACTTAGCAAAACCATCGATATTTAATTGTTTTTGGACTAATATTTTATATAGTAGCATTAATTTTTATCGATAATATTACTGATTTACAAGGAATCGTTGCTATATATATAATTTGTATTGTATGTACGATGTGAAATTGTATAAATTATCTTTTTTGTGATAAATTTCCTAGGCAGCTTTTTATTATTTAACATTTAACCAGTAGAGAATATAAAATTGGTTTAGATTGTAATTTTTAACACGTTCAAAACATTTCTTATTAAAAAGAATCTTTGCCTATGTATATTTGCAGGGTTCGCTATATATAGACAATTAATATTTACCTAAACTTTGACTAGACATGACTTGGAGTTGGTCATAATATCGCTTACTTCTAGTCCGAATAGGTCTCGTCCTATTACAAAACTTGGACTCATTTTAGTACTAGGTTTAAACTATTTCCGATCATAATAAGTCAACAAGTCTCAATTTGACGTTTGCTCTTCTGTCATTTGTCAATTTACATTAGGCGGTTAATGGTTTAAACTAAGTATTAACTTTGGTCTTCGTTGTTTATTAAGGCTTTATATGTTTTATCGAAAGACTAGACTTGTGTTAAACTAGAAACTATTGAAAGGAGACGTGGATATAATATATTTCTAAAGAAATTACTCCTTTAAATGAAATCTTTTCTAATTAAGATTTTGTTTTATTTTCGTACATATTAGTGTTTGTTGCTGGATATAAAATAAATATTTGGAAATAGTAAGTGACCCGTCCCAATAAAAAAGTAGAATATCACAGGTGATATGGTGATGCACAGTAGCAGGCACCATTTACATTTATAAAGTTTTGTGAAATTCATCATATTACTCATAAAATTATTCATTCAGTGTTTAAAGTATCTGTGCCAATTGTAAGTGTTGTCTCATCAAAATATAAGTATATAACAATAAAGTCTTATTGGATAATATGACGTCAAAGATTTGTAAATAAATACTTTTTTTAAATGTAGTCTATATATACCGTTCCCTGCTTATTTTCTATTTAAAATGACTGACCCCAATTATTAATTCATGTTCATACATTCCTGATATTAAATTAACAGCTATTGTTTTAACTTTAATGAAAACGTCAGTTTAGATATAAGTAGCACTTATGATTATGTATGTATGCTTAGTACCTTGCAGTGGTGGTGGAATGTCAGGTACCGTACCAAAGGAGAAGATTCAAAGGATGTTTGGAATTCTTGGTATTTCTGCACGTTTTCAATGCACAAGACATCGTAAATTAAAAATATGGTATCCTTTGGAGTGGTTTTAGTAAATGGTTGTTCGATGATATGATAAATCAATGAATATCAGCTTGTAGTACAGCCGAACAGAGAATTTCGTGCGATGACCCTGCATTAGACATCTCTTTCACTCTTGCGCAGACATATTGCTATCGCGCTCGCACAGGTGCATCTAGCCAATTATGTCATAGTAAAGTGAACTTAAAATGGGCAGAGGCAACGTACGATATTTGTTCGGCTTTATTGGACTTTATGAATCCATCGCCGCTGCTGCTTTGAATTAAGACTATTTTATAGGCCTAATATTAATGAATCTCAAATTGATGTTTACCTTTAGCCATTAAATTTTTATAATTTTTTTATATTACTCTTATATACCAATTTTGCATTCATAATTCTATAATAAATATTCTCAATAAAATATGTTTAAAAACACCACCATCCCCGGGAGAACCCCAGAGGAGGATTTCCATTGTATTGGTAATTAATAATATTTCTTTCGGCTGTTTGGGTGGATGCCTGAACATTGATGGGAATACGCTCTGTAGTAGCGAAAAGTAATAAGTGCTTGAAAAATTCGTGAGTCCTGTTTGGTCCTGGGTAGCTCAGTAGTTAGAGCAGTTGCCCAGATTGCCAAAGGTCATGCGTTCGAGTCCCATCTCAAAGTACCTGGGGCTGGTAGATTTTTTAAGCGTTTTTTATTAAGAATAAGAATTTTCCATGATTTTTTTTGTAGGCCTAATTTTAATGAATCTCGTTTTGATGTTTACCTTTTGACTGTAAAAATCTGTCCATTTTTATATAATTTTATTATGATAATATTATCAACTTGACTGCTTGTTTGTTGTGAGTGCCATATCTTCAACTTCTGAAGATTCAAAATAATGGCCCAAATATTATGTATTACATACCATTTTCAGTTGTATAAGGTTTATTTTTGCATGGCATCTGTAGAGACGACTCTTAAATCAAGTAGACAAATACTAATTGATGTAGGTAATTGATTTATTGCTTGTATATTTTTTTTTATGTATGTACAAAGTCGCGAATCTCAATTTATATATTATGTTGTTTGTGAAGTATCTATTGTAATTTTCATTTTTTGTGTTTAAATAAAAGATTTTTCGTATATAAACGTTTTTTAATTATAATATTCACTAAAGTTTTTCTTTCATATCGCGTTTTAACTTAATATTGACTTACACAACGTAATGTACTTGAAACAATAGAAATATTTAACATTACGGCTAATTTAAAAGACCGTCATTTTTTCGGTGCTAGTTTCATATTGTTTATAAGGTCGTGTATACAACTTGTTTTTTTTTTTTAACAAACAATGAAACTCTTCCATCCTCACCCTTTTATATTCACCAAATAAATTGATATTCTAGCAGGTATTCAATAATGTGTTTATTTAGTAACGTAATTTTAAATGTAATGTATTTACAAAAGAAAAAAACACTGGAATACAAGAAAAAATATTTTTATTTTCATCAACAACCTTTACTTCCAAGACCTCATTAACCTAAGTTTTACAAATAAGTCTATGTTTGGTTGGTGATTATGAAAAATCGCCGTTTCAGTTACATTGATGACGATAAAAATATAATAATGCCCAAAATCCGTTACGAAATAGTGAAACGTACTCTATATGTGTTAGGGGTTACAATCCGTTACCTTTTAAAACTGATATATTGATTGAAATCTTTATCACTATGTCATTAGATATAACACTGTCGCTGAACAGAGATAGATTCGTACAATGACCTGGCGTTACATATCTCTTCACTCGTACGCAGACATATTGCTATTTCACTTGCACTTCATGTATGTAAGGTAATTAGAATTCTTTTAGGGAAATGCTGGCCTGATTGTTTGTGGTTATGTACTGATAAGTCGCAAACAATCGAACCCGATCCCTTAAGTAGAAAATTTTATTTACTTCAGTGTTGACGAGATACCGCTATAAAAAACACTCAATTGAACGTATTATCTCGTTTATAGTAGTGTTACCACAATTAAATTTAACAAGCTTTTAGCATACTACAAATCTCCACATTGTGCAGGATAAAATATAAATAACAACACCGAGGATTGTTTTTCCTGCTGGCAACAACAGTTTCACATTCTTTAGCACTAACTATCCATAAGACTTTGGGGCAGGATATGTGACAACTAACATTAAAAAAAAATTAAAAGAGATAATACGTGACCAACAGAAGGCATAACAGTGTTTCAGTCTACAGCATATTAGGTTACAAAACTATCACTGTAATACATTTTAAACCTTAGGGCGATATAATTAAATTCAAAATCACTTGTTCAATATTAGAAACTTTGTATCTACTTTAAATCGTTTATTTATTTACAATAAAGAGTACATATAACACGAACCCACGAGGTATACTAGAAAATGTGCCTACATTACAATTAATCATTTATAATATAAGTTTAAAACCTAAGTACCTAATTAAATTTGGTACCAGATTAGATGGGACAATATTCAACAATTTATCATAGGGAAATAACATAATTACATACTTATTTTGTTTTGTACATACTTTTCAATTTTTTTACATTTTTACATATATTAAATTCCAAAAATGCACGTTATGTTTGTACAAGTAAAATCAAATATTAAGATAATCAGACGTTTTAATCTCGCCATCACTCGTAACTCACAAGAGATATCGAGAAAAAAATGTTTCTAACGGTTATACATAGTTTTTTTTATACAGTTGGCAGTACACCAGATTACTACTAAAAGGTCAAATGTCACCAATCGATTTCAAACCTTATTAAGATAACGATTAAGTTCAAAAAGTTGACCTGTGGTAACCAAGGGCACAATTCTGCTAGCGTTTCAATAGTAGCTTTTTTTAACATAATTAGTAGGTACTATATTGCAAAATAAAAGTACAGCAACAGCACGTCAGACTAGACAAATCTGTCAAATTTCTGTACTCGATTTTCAAGTAATAATTTGATAATAGACTTTAAAATCAACTGCGGAAATACCAATTGTGGTGATCTGTCGTGCAGCAGTGAGTACCATTTTGTAAACATTAGCACAATGTGGCCGTGATGTGTGATGTTGTATATATTTATATTAAAATATTAATGATATTATGGACCAGAGAGCGTATATGGCGAAACTGAAGAAAATTATTCTTACTACCTGATGGAGATAGTACAATCTGAAACAAAAAACATTTCATTGTCATGTTTTATCAACTTTGCATTGACAATGCTTTACTATATTATAATATTATGAAGAGTAGCTCGGTGGCGTAGTGGATAAGCGCCGCGGCCCGCTATCGTAGTCGTAAAGCAACTTTCGCAAGGGTCGGTCACGGGATGGGTGACCAAAAAATTATTATCTCGAGCTACTTCGTGCTTCGGAAGGCACGTTAAGCCGTTGGTCCCTGCTGCATTTGCAGTCGTTAATACCCTCCAATCCGCATAGGGCCAGCGTGGAGGGTCACGGCCCATCCTCCTTAACCATCCATAAAGAAGGCCTGAGCCCCTGCAGTGGGGACGTAAAAGGGCTGGTGATGGTGATGGATGAAGTTTCATAATTTGTGATATATTTTATCTACCAGAAGTAGTGGGGAAACAAATATTTGTTTCGAAAAAAAGTCACCTTTTCCATTTGATTCTGGCTTGCGGTAATGTCGCATCGCTCTCTTTAAACAGATACCTCCTTATTCCGGCGAGATAGTGATCGAAATATTCGTTCCAATCAACATCCGCCATGCTGAATGGGAATATCTGAAATTAAAACAAGATGGAGATTATTCGTATTATTCGCGGTGCTCGGTTACAAAGTGATTAATTAGCATATTTATTTATTTATTGTATGGTAGCTACAAAAGGTGGATTTAAGGTAATAACCTTCTCTCTCACTCAAACGCGATTGCGGTACAGAGAGATAAAAGTAGGTAACAAATTTAAAACTAGTGTCTAGTGAAAATAATTTATTTAATAAAAAAAAATATATATATATTTTTAAGAGAGTAAATCGTAATAATTATGAATTTTAGAAGTTCTCAACTATGTTTTTTTTCTGGGATAGGCAATTAAGACTGTGTAAACCCTTAAAAATATGATGTTGTTATATCACTTTCTCAGCTTTAGTTATTTCCCATTACAAAAACATTAGAAATAGAAGTAGCCGCTTAAAATGTATGCGCAATAATAAAAAATTAAAAAGAAAGGACATCGCCGAAAATGGCCCCAATACCATTAAATATTAATACTTCTATAATAATTACTAATTTATTTATTAAATTGGAATCAAATATTTATTTGACACGGACAAGCTGCGATCCAAAATTAATATTTAAAAGTACTTTAACAGTAACATTTTTATTCGCAAATATTCACATTCAATATACTTAAATTCTATTGAGTCAGATGGATGTAATTTACACGTCAGATCAAGAAGATCATTTATTTTTATTAGATAACCTTTAAATCATCGAACACAAAAACATTAAGTTAAATTGACCGAAAATAAACTTAAATTTACTAAAAGCACCATCTCTTGGTGATTTTCTAACTAAAACATAAGGACATAAAAACTGAATATTATACAAACTAAATTCATTAACTGTTGATAATTCACTCTTGTTTATTCAGAAAGATTGATATTCATACGACATATCCTAAAAACTACTTTGTTTCTATTACATTACCTTTATATTTCTCGTAAACATATTAACATCATGTCATTTATTTATTTAAGGCGCCATCTTTTGATGTAAACCATCAAAAAGCTATAGGTTTTTTAATTTTAAGCTTATCAATAGATATATTATTTAACTATTAGAATGATTTATTTGTCTATTGATTGACTTAGAAACTTTTACAAATCACAACGAAAAACCGACTTTCTTAAAGTTGAGTTTTTTGCTTCGACAATATAGACATCAATATCATATCATGTACTTAGAGTGCCATCTCTTGGTGGTTTTCCAAACAAATTATAACCTCAAAATGAATTATATTTAACGTGATAATAAGTTCTAAAACTCGGTCGCGGTATAATAAATACATAATGAGAATTAGTTAGTGACACATAATAAAATAAGTATTTTCCTATATTTTTTTGGCTCTGGGGCCACCAATGTATGGACGTTGAGCAATGTCCTTTAGAGATTGTGGGAAAATAGGTAGAATCCATGATCATTAAAGACCTCTACACTAGCGCGTCTAGCGGCGAATTAACACACTATAGCCATTTTGAATATACAAGATTGTCTTGTTAGCAGATTTTCTTACCTCTCGATCGGCTTCCGATGTGTCATGCCACAATTCCCTCGTTCGCTTATTACAAAATATTATCTCCCGCGTACAAAAATATGACAATACCGAAGAGAATTTGTGAATCTTACGGTAAACTTTGAGCATCCTGTAATAATAATTATATATTTATTTCTGCATAAATATTTCTAGTTAACAGACATATTTACCAGAAACTGTCAAGCAGAAGAAATTATAATAATCAAGGAATTACAATAACAATCACGGGATTAATCGAATATCAAATAAATCAATTCAATTTCATCAACATAAAAGTAAGATTAAAAAAAGTCATATATACAAAACAATAATTATAGTATAATAATATTATTCATACTCAGTATCCAAATAAGTATTAATGCTTTAAGACGCTTCGCGATCGTCTTAAATTTTGTAGTATCTCTATTGGTATTTTTTAATTGAAATCTTATTAAAAACATTTCAAATTTTAAAATGCAAGTTAAAAGGGACGGAAATGACTATCTTTGTTCATTCGTTTCCTGCAAAAATCAACTTTTGCTAGGGTCGCCATCTAGTGAGGTGCTTTTTGAATTCTTATTAAAAATAACTTTGTTAAATAAATAATTCACTCACTTTGGTTTCCTCCCTAAGCAGGTGGCTAGGCCGTCCATTAGAAGAGCTGGCAGCAAATGAAGGAATATCACGTAGAATTTATACATGAATGCGGATTTAGTTAGCGTTAGTGATATATACCTAGAATAAAATAAATAATATAGCTATAACGAAATTATAACGACAAAAGATTCTATTGTTCATTTATTATTTGAGTTAAATCGAGAATAGTTGCCTTATTGTTGCTGTGCCCTGTCAGGACGTAACTTGTGCTATGTTTACTTATTACCAGTGAGATGCCAAATAAATTGAACGAGGAAGTATTAAAAAAAATAGTTCCCGAAATCAAAACTAGATGTCGCTACGGTACTTTCTTGATTTCTCCATGACAACCCTTCCGTTTTCCTTTCGTGTATAAAACTAAACAAACAACTCATATTCTACTTGTACTTTTTCGTATTTGTATTGATATCTAAGATTCGAACTTTGCAAATTTCAGTTTTGCATATCTATCGGTCAGTTGCACAAACGTCCATTAACGTTTAATGAAACCTTTAAGCTCTAATGAATGTCAAATTTGTATGGGTAATGTCGCTTTAAACTAATGCAATTTTTAATGGACGTTTGTGCAACTAGCTGTGAGTTAGTTAAAAGGAACAGAAATGGTAGACTCGCCATTAAGTGAGGTGCTTTTGCAGAGGTTTCTTTTTTTTTTAAATACTTCTTCATTGAATTGACATAGGCGCTATAATTTAAGCGAGTGAAGTCGCGGGAAATCATAATAAAGTGGATTGTTGATTTATAATATATTGATTTGAAAACTATTGGAATTAATTTAATTATTCTTCTACCAATATAAATGAACATTATCAGCTAGTAAGAGTATTGTCTAGATTAAGTAATTTTTGAATAAGCTAGTCAGTGGATGAGTGACAAAAAAACATATAATTCTAAACTCTTTCGTGCTTTGGAAATCACGAATCTTGTTTACATTTCTTCTCATTACCATCCACTAATACGTCCTGGGCCCACTTTATGATATTTTCTCCCTGTATCATTCCGAGAGGAGTTAGTATTGATGACATTAGAAGGTTTACAGAGTGTACTTACCATATAGCGTTTGAGAATGGATTTCTGTCTATCCTCGCCATATTTTGTGTCATATAATCGCCCCACGTTATCCTGTTCTCAACGGAGCTTACGTAATTGAAGATAGGCGGTTCTGGCGGTGGACTGTACAGAGCAAAAGCAAATGTAGAAAGTTTCATACTCTTCATATAAATAGAGTAGCTGAGCCCCCGTATTATGGAGTATCTGAGACACCGAAGGTTCAATAACACCTAGACCAAAGACAATATAGAAAAGTTCATTTTCTACATTGACCCGACCGGGAATCGAACCCGGGACCTCAGAGATGGCGACACCTTTAAACTGGCGTGCGAACCACTCGGCTACGGAGGTCGTTTGGTCTTTGTCTGTCGGCAAATGGCGTTAGTGTCTTTTTTATAGATGAAATATCAATATCCGTGCAGAGTATAAAATAAAGTCGCTTCCCGCTGTCTGTACGCATAGATCTTTAAAATACACAACGGATTTTAATGCGAATTTCATGAATATGCAGAGTGATTGAAGAGGAAAGTTTATCTGTAAGTATTATACAGCACCACGCGGGTGAAACCGTACGCAAAGAGCTAGTTTGTTCATAATATGTAAATTGTGGTTACATAACTTATTGGTGGACTAATTAATTTTGATTATATACATATAAATATACATTTGTGAATGATTTGAATATCTTATCTGTGACTTTAAAAAACAGACCAAGTTTTCGGTACCGTTAATTACAAAAAAAATCTGTTTATAGATTTTATTGTTAATAATATCGGCAACAGAAACATTTCGTCTGCGTAAATTTTAAGTGTCTAGCTGTAACAGTTCATGAGATGGCTGGCGCCTTATATCGTACGGACGGACAGCGGAGTCTTAGTAATAGTAAAGTAATATCCGCGAATATTATCTGTACATAAGTAGCTCGGTGGCGAAGAGGATAAGCGCCGCGGCCTGCGATCTTTGTTGTTAAGCAACTTTCGCAAGGGTCGGTCACGGGATGGGTGACCAAAAAAAATATTATCTCGAGCTACTTCATGCTTCGGAAGGCACGTTAAGCCGTTGGCTGCATTTGCAGTCGCTAATAGCCTCCAATCCGCATTGGGCCAGCGTAGAGGATCATGGTCCATCCTCTTTAACCAACTATAAGGAAGGCCTGAGCCCCTGCAATGGGGATGTAAAAAGGGCTGATGGTGATGACGATGTTGATCAGAGGCACTGGCAGCTCCTTGCATCGTTGCATAATAAATTCGCGTTTCGAATATAGACGAAGTTTTCGTACAAATAGATTAGGCCTTCTGGTTTCATGTTAATTTATACAAGTAGTACCTAGTTTTATAAGTAGCGTGCACGCTGACGGCTGCAACCATCAGACAGTTGACCACATAGTCGACTGGAACTATTTCTGCCGTCACATCTTCGTCGCACTGGAGGGTTCTTAAAATACCTGTCACTGAAAAGTACAAGTTGGCTTATATTAGAAATGTATCTACTGAAAATGTTCGAGAAATAAGCAAAAGGTTATTCTATTCTGTTTGAAATAATAATTGTAACTGTTTATTTTAATTTAAAAAAAATCCATAGAATAAATATTTCATAAAAATAAACAAGTTTTCTTGCCTTAAACTTAAATCAAATTTTAAAGTTTCTTAATAAAAATGCTTAAAAACCCCACTTTGTCTATGATACTCTGAGATGGGATACAAACACATGACCTTTCGCAATCCGGCCTACTGCTCTAACCACTGATCTACCCAGCACGCGTAGCATGACAAACTCGAGAAACGCTTTGTCTACACTCACTTGTCAGTTTCTCGGGTCGAGAGTGAGATATAGTATGGGCGCACCCCAGAAAAGTGACATTTGAGTGTAGACAAAACGTTCTCTAGTTCGTCATGCTACACGTGCTGGACCTAACAGGACTGACTAATTTTTCAAGCACTTGTTAGTTTTTCGCTACTACAGAGCGTATTCTCATCAATATTCAGGAAATCCATCCAAACAGCCGAAAGAAATATTTTTATAAATATTTAAACTTTCGATAAGGATGAAAAATTATTATAATAAAAACAGATGCATAGAGGAGAAGATTAAAAGATGACAATAAAACAATACAAAGGCCCTCTAACGATCTATAGATAGATAGATAACTCTTTATTGTCAACAATACACTATTTACAGAAACAAACAGAAATGGAACTTAATTAATTAAACGAAATGAAAAGATATAAATAAGCTAAGAACAGTGCCATCTATACTCCATTCATTATAACATTAGAAAAAAGAGGGTTATAGAAGCAGCAGTGCAGAACATTTTATTTTCAAGATAAATTTAAAAAATATGCATTATAGTTTTGTTAAAACTTTGAACGTTAGATAGTCTGAAAGAGCCGAGCAATTTTCTATTTTTTTACGATATCCCGGGGTTGAGATGAGGCCAGCATTTTCTAAATTCTTCTTTTACTCCCAAGCCAACGTGGAATTAAAACTATCTATCTGTTGATTTGATTATAATTAGAATACAATTTAGTTATATCTATGCCCAGTAAAGAAAGATAAACAAAATGAAATTGTATTATTACTATTATAACATTTATTCAGACATTAGACTATTGATGAAGACATTGAAAATACTTCTTGAAATGTCAAAGGTTGGTAGGTATGGGGGCTTAGAGCGTAATTGTTGTAGGCCACTCGGGCCTGCACCGGCGTCGTCCATATTTATACAACTTAACAACAAAAACAAAACTAATATAAAACAATAACAACTTAATCACGGAAAACGGAAAAACAACAAGAAAAGCAGTAGCATTCCAATGGATGATATTCCCAGATTACGTATTTTGACAATTATGAATACCTTATAATCTAACAAAATTAAAAAACTATACTGCCGAAACGTTTGAAAGAATTAGTTAACGTTTTAAATTTGGTAGAATTATAGTGACATGAGAATCGTGCCGAAACTATCCAACCCTGCTTCTTTGGGTTCTTTAAGATGAACACTTTTTATTGTAATAGTTATTAGATCATTTAAGTTAATCAAATACTCATAAATTTGTTTAATAGATAGCTTAAATGACAACAGTTAAGTATAGCAGCTGGTATTTAAGTGAATATGTAGCAAATTAGCCGTCAGTCTTAAGAGTAACATAATTATTGATATTTTGTCACAAAGTATACCATAAAAAGAACTTTATTTATCTTCTGTCTAATGCTATAATGAATGGAGTATAGGATTTCGATTTATCGGCAACATATACCAATCGTCATTGAGCCAACTCTGTGAACTAGGGTCATAAAAATCGTATATTAGAGAAGGGACAGCATGGTAGGTATATAGTAGGATTATATATGAATGGTGGCTAAACTATATTTTAGTTTAATTTTCGTTTGTGACAATTTTTTGTCCATTCTGGTGCTCATACTTTAATTATCGTAAGATCGTGTTTATGTAATTATTACTTTACCGTTCCAATAATCCACTAATTCCATTAGTCTCTGATTGGCCGGTGGCGTTTTTTATGGTTCTATTCAGGCAATTTTTAGCCAAAAATTGCTGCTATTTATTGGTTGCAAGAATTTTTTTATGGCCATTTAAAAAAATTGAAATTATGTAAATTTTAATTTTTGGTTCTTCGACTCAAAATGTTACCGACCCCTGTTCTAGGCCATAACCTCTTTGATCTTGAGATGGTTATGGCTATATTCTGACATGTCTACCAGCCAGTTGCACAAACGGCCATTAAAATTTCATTAGTTTAAAGCGACATTACCCATACAATTTTGACATTCATTAGAGTTTAAAGGCGTTATTAAACCCTAATGGACGTTTATGCAACTGACCGTATGTATTACATAAGACTAGCTGCTCGTTTAGTACCTAAATACATATTATACTTACCACTGCCGGCTGCCACACCGTTCGGTCCGTACATATTATCCAACCAACATTTGATGGGTTCCTTCGCCGTAGACGTCACTGAAAAAAATTATTGCAATTTGAAAATGGTTATCGTCACTGACGAGCGCGCGGTGGTTAGCGCGCTCAATCTACGATTGCGGAAGTTAAGCAAGTTTCGCCGAGGCCAGTAACAGGATGGGTGACCAAAAATATAAATACAGTTGGACTCGTAGGCGCCCACCAATCGGATCTGAGCCCTGAATTTTATATGCCGCTAAATAGTCTTCTAAATATTAATATTAATAAAACATCACATTCATTGCTAAGATTCCAAGATGAGTTGCTAAAGGCATCTTATTATGGAATATCTATGATGACAACCACCCAGACACGAGGTAATATAGAAAATAAACAGTAATTGACCAGACCGGGAATCTAACCTAAGAGATGGAGACACAGTTCCGTCCGTTCGTCCGTACCGACCTGTAAATACAGTCGGCTATTGTAAACACTTAACAATAGCTTACCTATAGCTGGTCTGAAAATGCCGACAGGTATATCCCCGGCAGTAGTTCTCAGCTCTTCCTCCGCTAATGCCTTAGTAAAAGTATATGTGTTAGGCCACGCACCAAGAAGCCTAAAATTTAACAAAAACACGTAAAAATCAATGGTACATAGCAGTACAAAAGTAAAAACGTCTGTCTGTCCCTGTCTGTTTAGATCTTTTAAACTACGCAACGGATTATGATGCGATTTTTTTAATAGATAGGTTGATTGAAAAGGAGCGTTTCTATTCGTCGAGAAAATTATTAAGGGAAATAAAATATGTATTTTTAATTTTTTTTGCGTAAAAAATAAATTAGGGCGATATATTAATTAAGTACCTACATATGTGTGACGTAACGAGCCATTTCTTGTTGGATGGAAGCAAAAAAATCGTATTTTAAATTTTACTGTTATGTGGCTCACAGACTAAATAGAATTCTTTTTTTTTAACCCAAGCAAGATCTTTATTATAATAAATTACTTATAACAATACAATAATCAACTAAAATGCAAAGTTTTTGCAATCTTTATTAATATTGAAAAGAGGTAAAGTTCCTGACTTTGTTTGTTTTGGATAAACTTCGTAAATACTGATTCCATCACGAAAATTCTTTCACTCGCTAGAACCTTTGTATAGTAAGATGGAAAGAAGATTCTAGAGTGGGACAGGAAGACAGAGGTGTCAAATGGAAGATTCTAGAATGATTCAGAGCCATCTGTTGAACCTTACCACACAACAAGTCACGATAATCTTACCTTGGTAAATCTTTGTCTATCTCGGAGTCCGTCATCTTGTCGATTTCTTTCTGCAGCTCGTCACAACTGATGTCACACGGGTAGTATTTCTCCTCTACGTATTGCAAATGTGAATTGGAATACACCGTTGATATATGTATCATAACCTGCAATTTTTTTATGTATTACAGGCACAATAATCTTTCAATGTTGATTGGAAATATAAAAATGTCGGATAACGGGTCATATAGTACTTATATAATCCAATAATGCGGAGTCGTGTGGGTATATTATTTAATCCTATTACGAGGGTCAAACTGAAAGTTCTTAGAACTGGCCACTTATAAACAATATAATAAAAAAATAATTCTAAAATTTGAAAATATAACTCTTTGCCAATATTACTGAGTATATATTTCATTCATTTGTCATTTGTTTTACGATTTGGCGGCAAATTGAAAATTGTCTGTGTCACGTCATCATGAATTTAACACGAGAAAATTTTCGTGCAATGATTTTTTATGACTTTCGATGTCATTTAAGTCAACAAGAAAGTTATGATAGACTACGATTGGCCTTTCACGATGAAGCCCCATCTCGTGCGACTGTTTACAACTGGTTTAATGAGTTTAAACGTGGTCGCACTAATCTTACTGATGATTTACGTGAGGGACGGCCTTCTACGGCGACGACTGAAGATAACATCTGTGTTGTGCGGCGTATGATAGAGACTGACAAAAGAGTGACCTATCAACAGATTCGGACAAGCTTAGGCATCGGTATGAGTCAAGTGCACAAAATCCTCCACGAACATTTAGCGGTCAGGAAGCTTTGCGCCCGGTGGATACCTCATAATTTGACTGAGGCTCAAAAACTCCATCGTGTGGATTGGTGTCGTAAAATGATTGAAAGATTTAACGGAGGTGACTCAAATGCTGTGTTCGACATACTAACAGGTGACGAAAGCTGGATTTACTGTTATGATCCTAAAACCAAAAGACAATCTGCTCAGTGGGTGTTTCCTTTCGAGGAGTTGCCAACTAAAGTGAAGAGAGATCGAAGTGCGGGAAAAAAAAATGGTGGCCTCGTTCTTTGGAAGGATAGGTCATTTTGCAACAATTGTGTTAGAGGATCAAAAAACAGTTTCTGCAGAATGGTACACTACCAATTGTTTGCCACTTGTCTTGGAAAAAGTTCGAGAGAAACGACCTCGCAGTAGGATCCTCCTTCACCACGACAACGCCTCGTCGCACACCGCCAAGCGAACGATCGACTATTTGGCGACATCAAACGTTGAATTACTGGGTCACCCGCCGTATAGCCCCGACCTCGCGCCTTGTGATTTTTATTTATTTCCAAAAATTAAAGAAAAACTTAAAGGAAAGCGGTTTATGAATGCTGAAGAAGCGGTGGCTGCGTATCGCGATGCCATTGAAGAGACCCCTAAGGACGAGTGGGCAAAGTGCTTTTCCCAGTGGTTCCATCGCATGCAGCGGTGTATTGACGTGAATGGACAATATTTTGAAAAGATATAATAAAACTAATAACTGGCTAATGTAATCAGTTTTTGATTTTCTAAGAACTTTCAGTTTGACCCTCGTAATATTATAAATGTGAAAAATTATTTGTTTGGTTGTTTGGAGGTTCGTCCGTCAATCATGCCGAAAATAGTGAACGGATCTTGATGAAATTTGGTATACAGATAGGGATAGCTGAATTAAATAATAGGATACTTTTTTCCCACTAAACATTTTCCTAGGGACCATGCGGGCGAAGCCGCTGGCGAAAGCTAATTGAATTATAAAAATCTTATATGTATTTAATTTTTGTATTTTGAAGTCATCATTTATAAATTAGAAGAAGAATAATGTTCTACTAATCATACTAATACTATAAATGCGAAAGTGTATGTATGTTTGTTACTCTCTCACACAGAAACTACATAACGGCTTTTTTTTTTAATTTGGTATATGGATAAGGCCTTAGGTACAGACACAATTAATTTATTCATTTGTTTTTCGATGCTATCAATAAATGTACTTACGTCGAGTTTTTTTATATCCCGTGCTAACCTTAACAAGTGTAGTGGGGCTCGGGCGTTCGTATAAAATGCCGCCCTCAGATGCTCGTCAAATTTAACAGTGGCCGCGGAGTGGAAGATTATGTTCACCTGGAAAACAATTCAAATATATCGTCAATGCTACGCCAGTATATACAAAAATATTTCTTTCTCCAGTTGATTTTAAACCTTATGTATTGTCAGTAGAGTTCAAAGAAAGCAAGGAAGGTCTGTGTTCCAGCACTGGGATAAACAATGGCACGTTTAAATACTTAAGTAGGTAGCTTATCCAGTGTCTTAAAAGTTTCAAATTGGGCTCTATTTCCGCCATTTTGGAAATCCCTGTCTCCGCTTACATTATAAATAGGAAAAGACTCTAATTTTGTTGTAAATCTACGTAAATGTCGATCCGAACATTAAAAATCTTTCACCTACGGGAAATTACGTCATACGTGTGTAATATAGACTATAATTTAAGCGGGTGGAGTCGCAAAAGCACAGCTAAGTATTTATAAACAAAAAACATACCTTCTCAGTAAGAATTTGTCTGTCTGATAGCGTGAGGCCGAGTCCAGCCGCTTCGCAGTCAGCTGGTATGACGAGCACCTTGTGTCTGAACTTTGGTACTTCTTCTTTGAGACGATTGAACACCTAGAAATATATGATCAGCCAAGGATGTTTCTTAGTCGAAAAAAAATCTCTTTAGTCCCTCAATTAGATAATAGAAAAATATTAATTGCTTAGATAAGTATTTTTATTTGCTTCAAGTTCATAAGAAATAACTCAGACAATAAAATTAATAATTAAAGATAAGGAATGGGGGCTTACTACATCTCAACCATATAGAAAATATATATATTTGTAACTTCATGTGATCCTATTTCAATTAAATGTAGACACTTTCATAAATATCTTCCAAATGTTAAATTGAAAAAATTAGCTCGGTGGCGTAGTGGATAAGCGCCGCGGCCCGCGATCGTAGTCGTTAAGCAACTTTCGCAAGGGTCGGTCACGGGATGGGTGACCAAAAAAATTATTATCTCGAGCTACTCCGTGCTTCGGAAGGCACGTTAAGCCGTTGGTCCCGGCTGCATTTGCAGTCGTCAATACCTTCCAATCCGCATTGGGCCAGCGTGGAGGGTCATGGCCCATCCTCCTTAACCATCCATAAGGAAGGCCTGAGCCCCTGCAGTGGGGACGTAAAAGGGCTGGTGACTGACTAAGTTAAATTGAAAGGGATTGCGATAGAATTTGAAATGAGAGAACTAGGCTCCTGTTTGATATGAAGAAAGCACCAAAAAAGCACCTCACTAGATGGCGACTCTACCAAAAGTTGATTTCTGCAGGAAACTAATGGACCAAAGATAGTCGTTTCCGTCCCTTTTAACAAACATTAAAAAACAGAAATTTGCAAAGTTCGAAACTTAGATATCAACACAAACACCAAAATTGAGTTTTGAAAATTAATTTACTTTTATACACGAAAGAAACACGAAAGTGTTGTCATGGAGAAATCAAGAAAGTACCGTAGCGACATCTAGTTTGATTTCGGGAACTATTTTTTATTTAAATACTTCGTCATCTTTGCAATATATATTGAATAAAAATTCCAAGAATTATGAGGTGTCTATGAGCAACGCAAATCATCAGATCAACATGGTCGTTAGACACTTATGATTACCCATTGTATTCCCGAAGACGTCATGTTGACATTACTGAAGTACTTAGTAAATAATCCTTGGGTAATTCAATATTGACGAAGTACGTCCATTCTTGAGAATTTTATTGTCAACAGTTGACATGTAAAAGGTCTTGACATAATTTGTCTTGTTTATTGAATTACTGTACAGAGGGCCAATTCTACTAAATAAATTTTGATTCAACCGAATGGAAAACGGATCGAAACCGAACGAAACTACAGTTTTTAATGGTTTTCTTACTCTACAAAGTGACATACGATACAATTCCAGTTCTATTTTAGTTCGAATTGTATCGTATATCACTTAGTAGAATAGAAAAACCATTAAAAACTGTAGCTTCCTTCGGTTTCGATCCGTTTTCGATTCGATTTAAACAAAATGTATTTAGTAGAATTGGACCCCTGATCATATCTGTATTTGGGTCGTTTTCATTGGTCGTATTGCTCATTGGAATCGCCAGACTGTCGGGATTCGTCAGTTTTGTCGTGGCAAATCTAAGAATGTTCAAGGTCCCGAAAAAAAAAGAAATGCCTTGGTACTTAATATCCCTGCTCTGACGTAATTACTCGAGAAAATTTATACGAGAATTTGAATGAAGAAAAAACTGTTATTAGCTAATAATCATTCGTTTTCTTGTTTACTTCTATTGTCATATAATTACTTCTTTCGAATGTAACTATGAAGGTGAGTCACGCAGGAGATACGAATTCATTGTAGTAGCAAAGTACTCTTCATATGATCATGGATGAATACTAATTCTATCGAAAATCACAACTACATAAGCTATATTCATTGTTAAAACACAAATTTAATTTTAATTTTATTTTTAAAACGTTAATATAGATTTCATCCCGATCTACTTAGATCAAGCTTTAAGCTTTTAATATTCAGTTAAAGCTACTTCACTTATCCATGAAATATGGACATTATTTATCACTAAAACCCAAATTACCATAAATATAATAGTTTTATAATTGCAAATCTTCCCCACTTATTAAAAGTCTTTTGTAACTTAGTGTTTGCATGCATAGTTTCGAGTTTTCTTATTTGGGTGCAAAACTTTTTGCCATAGCCTAAGGCAGCGTTTTGTTTGTTTTGTCCTATTTATGTAAGTAGGTTTTACAATATTTTAACAGTGCTACTTAAAAACAAGGTTTAGCGTCTGAGCAAAACTACTACGTTCTAGGACCAATATTACTCCCGTAGAACTTCGATCTAGGTTAAGCTTTGTTAAGTCTCTGTTTAATAATATGAATTTTGACTAATACTAAGTGCAGTCTCAGAGTAAATTTACTTCAACGCTAAACCTTGTTTATAAGTAGCACTGTAAAAGTTTTTTTCATAATATACTTACAGGATCATCAAATATTTCTTCTATTCTCGTGTAGATATCTTTGCCACGCTTCTGTCTGACCAGTAAATATAAATTTTCTACGCCCGGACAACTTCTTAACAGTTTCTCCATTAAAATTTTACCAAGGAACCCTGAAAAAGAAATAATTGATTTTCCTACTGCAGTAACCTTAACCTTATTCAATCATTTTGCCCTTCGATTGGTGGGTGCGCTTAATAAATAATTTATTATTACTCAATTCGTATGTATTACGTATTACATTATTTATGTATTAATTATTACTCAATATGTTTAATACTTTTATATGTATACATTTAAAAGTGATTTTATACAAATAACTTTTTGTAATTCTTGGCTACAACGCCATCTGTTGTTATTACGAAATATTATGAGGGACTTTCAAAAATCATTGATAATTCCATATTATTATTATGAAGAGGTAAGTTGTTTGTTGTTTCTTTGTAAGGGGTAATATATGGAAATACTGATCCGATTATAAATACTGTTTTTACCCACGAGAAGCTACATCATAGGCTATAATTTACACGAAGTCGCGGGAAAACTGCTTGTAGAACTATAAAAAGTTAGTAGTTATTAAGGCAAAGCATACTTTAAAAAAAAAAAACTTACCAGTAGCTCCAGTGATTAATATACTTTTACCATTATAAAACCTTTGAACTTCACTCATATTATTAGTATTACTGCCTTCAACTACATCCACATTACCGTTCAATCTGTCGTTATAACTATCCTTGTTTATATTCGCCATTATGTTATCGTTATTCATAATAACGGTATCGTTGCAAAAACCGTTTTCGTTGAATGGTTCTGTACTATAGTTGGTTCGGATTCCGTTCATGATACAAATTATCGCATTTTCGTTTGTTATAAATTTATTTTTATTGCTCTCGTCTCCATTTTGATTCAATATTGCTTAACATCGTTCTGTGGACAAAGAAATAGCTGTTTAAAACATATTTATTACATTAAAAAAATGTATCGTAATTAAATCTATAGGTATCTACATAGCATTAAAACAAAATTGATTCCCTCTGTCTGTATGCTGAGATCTATATAAATTATACAACGATTTTAATGGGGTATGGTATACAGAATGATCCAAGAAGAAGGTATAAACGCTATAAATGCTGGGGGAAAGATAATATTTGATATATAACGTTAATAAAATTAACGCTACATGATAGGATTCTATAATTACAAAGTCTAGACCAGTGACATTAATGTCCTCACTCGTAGAGCATAGGTTTTCACAATTAGTAATGCTGCAAAAGATGCCTATTAAAAAAAGATTGTTGTAAAATCAACGTGCTTTGTAATTACCTACATAGTAATGTCATAATAATCACGACGTTACAAGGTTTAATAATAGACGCAGATAGGACAGGCCCGGTTCTATAACTTTTTCTAACCGGAGCAGAAACTTACTATTGCCCCTCGCACGTATTTTTATTACCATATTTTTGCAATGTCATTGTATAAGCGCCCCCACTGGCGTCAGGGCCAAGTGCCGCCACTTGCCCTAGATCCGGGCCTGAGATAGAGATAATGATTCATTATGAATATAATTTTGTCGAATAATAGTTGGTAGGCATCCAAAGAGGTTTCTAACAACGCAAAATTTTGTGGTTTGCGGTTTCAAGTCGATATATTTTAAATGCTGAGGAACATTAAAGAGTCTTTACGCAAACGATCATTTCGAAATGTTATGGTGTGAAGAATAGACTTTATATGTTCACCATGGACATTGCCAAACTCACATACAAAGTAATGTTCCGACTAGGGTTGCCAGGCGTCCGGATAAAAGCGCATATAACTAGCTAGGCTTTTTGATTTTTGATTTCGTGTAAGACCATAATAAACGGTGCCCGGCTTTTCATTTGTTTCGAAATGAATTATAATCGTTTCCAAAGTCACTCGAAATAAAGTACTTTGACTGATTTTCCACCCGAGTTCATTTTTAGCTCATTAGAATTTAAGAACATTTATGGTAAATAATTAAACTTGGTGCTCGACATTTTTACCCAAATATCCGGCAGGTCTGTCCTGTTTGGCGATCTGGCTTGGTAATAGTAATATAACTGTAATAGTAATAGTTATAAATAAGTAAAAGAAAGACAAGGGTAAAAAGAAAAGTACCCACAGTAAATACCTAAGATTAAGAAAAAAATACAAAAGAAAAGAAACAAAAAAGACAAATAACTGTCTGATACAGATCGGGGGTTCAGGAAAAAAAAACAGTAATATAACTTGTACGAATTAACATGACACCTCCCCAGGCCCCCCGCCCATTCTATTTGTCCTTGAACAAAAAATTCGGAAAATTTCGTATGGTTATTATAATTTGAAAATTATCTGGTCAGTATCAGGTCCTCCGTTGCGTCATAAAATAAAGAAAATGATAGTTCTTTGTAGTCGTATTAGCGTTTCGAAAATAGAGGAAATTTCGTTTTCAGAGACAACAGAGTAGACCTTATATAATATTTCGTTTCGAACGAAAATCCGGAAAATTTCCGGTAGAGTTAAGTAGCTTTGCTCGTGCGCGAATCCTACTTGCATTTGGCCGGTTTTTCATTTTTGAAAGGAAGAAAAACGAAAAGAAATCCCTGCTTCATAGTTCGTTGACCTGAAACTTCTCGAAATAAAGGTTTTTAACAGACAGACAGACAACAAAGAAGTTTTATACCTATGGGTACTATTTTCCTATTCGAGGTATTGAACCTTATAATAACGAAAGATAATAATTCTTACATTACACTACAACAATACTAGACACGTTATTAACCGCGCAATTTCAAATGAGTCAACTAAGAAAAAAAAAACAGCATTTTTTTCTAGTTTTAGTGACAGAAGCGGTGTGAAATAAGTTATTTTTAACAGACTTCAAAATCGAAATGAAGTGGTTCTATATTCGACAGCGATGTATGTTTTTTATGTATTTTCACCGATATTACCGGGATCTGTTGTCTTATCAATTTTCAAAATTATTTTTTTTATTAAACAGCTTAAGGGCTGAGGTTATATGTACCATATCTTCTTTTCAAAATCGGTTCATGACATTTGATTATATATTAAAGTTACTGGTATTATATAGTTTTTTTTTATAGCAAAATAAATGAAAGGGTTTCGCCAAATACCATTATTTATAAACGATATTATATAATCTAAGATATAAACATAGAAACAAAATATAGCGTATTTTACATTCTTATGATTTTAAAATCGAACAGGAAGATTTTCTATGTTAGATGGCTTTTGTACTCCTCGAATTGTGAGCCATTGTATATTAAATACGTATTGGAAATTTAAATGTACAGAATAAAGTATAATCTCCGACAAAATTGACTTCCGTTTTGTTAATATAAATGTTTTTATATAGATATTAAATATTTTTAGTAATACTTAAAAAAAATTAGAATTTATCACTATATAAAGACATTTTTTCAATTTTTTTTTATAAAAAAATTTAATTCTCAAAATAAAAAATTGACACCCATATAAAAAGTGATTTAATTTATTCAAGAAACCATTATTGAAGTCGGTTGTTTATCATTTATAATTAAACCGCTTTTAAGTTTGAAGTCGGTTCTCTTTAATATTGACTGCATGTATTCCCCATACGCAAATAAGTAGTTCGGTATAAATTGCGGCACATAAGTTGAGTAAAAATGGCAATTTTCCACTCACTGGTACAGTCGTGCACTACATATATTGAGTTGTATTACGCGATGAGACTCATCCCCTGCAATTCGGACCTCCAATGAGACCCGAAAATGTACTATTTACACATAGCTCAGCTTATGTTCCACGATCTGTAATGGCCCTTTGCAGGCGGCCCTATCGGCCCTATCGAATCTGTAATGGCCCTTTGCATGCGGGCCCTATCGACCATACCTATAAATTAAAGGATCATGAATGAAAAGGTCGTCGAATAAAATAAATTAAAGGATCATGAATGAAAAGGTCGTCAAATAAAATGTTTTTATTCACACGACAAACGAGAATTCTTGAAGTGCCAGTCGTAATGTTTCAAGGTCGTAAAAGAAAGTAAATGATCACGCATCATTATGTCAGTCAGATCGCGGTCAACGGGTCAACTGGCCCTCGCGCGCTGCGGCCGCAATACAGGTCGATGCCGGAGCATATTAATATACAACATTATTTCATAGCACATATTGCATATTGTTAACAAATAACTTACATTTTCCAAGTTGACAAAACTCAAGATAAATTTAGCGCAGGTACAATGAAAGTGCGCCCTAGTCAAAACCCTGGAACTTGGCGCCCTAAGCAAAACACTGTAACTTGGCGCCCTAGGTATTTATTTTTCGCGAAATTGAATAGGTAGGTACATAGTTTTTTTTTTATAGCAAAATAAATGAAAGGGTTTCGCCAAATACCATTCTTTATAAACGATATTATATAATCAAAGATATAAACAAATGATAGCGTATTTTGCATTCTTATGATTTTAAAATCGAACAGGAAGATTTGTCAACACTGACACGACGTCTATAAAAAAATTACAACAAAAAAGACTAATGAAAAATAAATAAAGGTACTCTTTAGGTACGGCTGGTTGAAAACGTTGACTTTTGAATACCGAATATGGACTCATGTTCAAAGAACAAACGTAATTTTTTTAAGGTAGGTACTGCATTTTTCAGATTCAAATAATTAGAGCAAACTGTGAAATGCCGAATCGCGTGCGCGTTTAGATATATTAGATCCCACTAGAAAATATGAATATTTATATAAAACAAATTGAATATTTTGAATAAGGTGTTGAGTTTCAGAAGAAAAAGGCTTGTAAAGTCCTAACTCTACGCCCTCGCGTGTAGAGTTAGAATCTTTGCTCTAATAGGTTGGACCACTTTTTTACAGTGCGAGTCACATGGTCTCGGCTCCGCAAAGCTTTACATGAACGAAAATGTGGGAGATATTAACACGCAATGAAAAATAATAAATGTTTGTTTGTAGAGTCACTCAATTTTATCAACAGAAATGTGCATTTGTAAAAGTAGCTAACACATATTACCTATGACTAATAAGAAAAGTTTTAAAATTTTCTACTACTTCACTCTGGTTAGCACACGAGATAAAACGTAAGTAGGTAACAAAGATTTTGTATATTAATAATGTAACGTTAACAAGAGTTTAAAATTAAATTAAAATTTTAATGAACTTTTTAATTGAAATAAGTTGTAATTAACGGAAAGGAAAATCTAATTAGTATTTTTGTTCGAATATGTATACTAATGTAAATAGGTATAATAATTATTTGTAAACTGAAATGGAGTTATGAAACATCAAAATTATAAATTGTAAATCAAAACATTTAGTAATTTTCGGACAAAAGGTAATTCTGTTTGAATAGTTTAAAAAATAAACTCATTCAAACAACTAAGCTATGTTAAGATAAATTAAATGTCATGATAAGTATAAACTAGTAGAATCAAATTTAACAATAACAATAATATATTTCAGTAGTTTTTTATAGATAGTAGGTACTAAGTCAACGTTTAATATTAAAGACGCTGTAGAAGCTGTTTAATTTGTTGAGTTTAGGTACGATTTTTAGGGTTAACAAGGAAAGTTTCGCCATGTCTGTCTGTCTGTTCATCTGCCCGTCTATCCGTCCGTCCGTCCGTCCGTCAAAAACTATGAGTTACTAGATATTGTAATTTGGCATCAGTACACACGTTAATAAAAAAAACCTACGTATTTTAAGAAAAGATTAACAAATATCGTTGCTTTTAGTAAAAAAAAAAACTAATACCCATCAGCGACCATGAAACTTGGACATTGAGAAAGAAGTAAGATCTTATTTTATTGCGTTAATGAAATGTAAAGATTTGATATGTGTAGACAAAAAATTATAAATATATTTGTTTATATGATTGCTTAATACTTATTTAAAAAAGATA